ATACCCGGTAGCCTATACTCGAGAAAGATATTACCTCGCAGAATAGAACTACGACATCTATAATAAGGAGCTACTTATAATAGTTGCATTACTATAATACTAGCGAGTATACGCGGAAGGAGCACTAAGTCTTACGATTCTTTCTAATTATAAGAATCTAACTTACTTTACTACGACTAAAGTACTAACCCGAAGATAGGCCCGCTAGTCGGAGCTACTAGGACAGTACAAGTTCGAAATCCGCTATACCCTAGGACGCGAGAACGGACGAGCCGACGCACTAAGCCGCCGTAGCGACTATATAGAGGGTTACGAACTAGTATAGTAGTAGATATTAAAAGCAAACTAAGACGGAAGCCTTAGTGCTAATATAAAAGAATTTAACTATATTATACGAGTTCTTCAGGATATAGAAGAACAGTTCCTAATCGAATATAGGAAATACTAAGTACCTAAGGAACGAGTTACGGAGTGTATACGACAACACTACGACGGACTAGAAAATAGACACCCTAGAGTTTTAAAGATAATAGAACTAGTTAAGCGAAGCTTCGGATTCCTATATATGCGACAACGAGTTCTAGAATATATTAAGAAATGTCTACAATGTTAGCGTAATAAGGCTAATAGACACGCTAGATATAGACATATCTAATTTAGGACGCTACTAGATAAACTATAGGACGAAGTTACAATAGACTTTATTACGAAACTACCGAAGTCTAAGGATCCGGTTATAGGATATAGCTACGATATAATACTTGTTATAGTCGATAGGCTTACGAAATACGCACACTTCATTCCTACTAATAAAGCAAGTACGGTAGAGCAACTCGGATACCTCGTACTAGATAGACTTATACGATACTACGGATTTCTAAAGACCTATATTACGGATAGAGATAAGCTCTTTACGTCAAACTACTAGAAGACGCTTATAGCGACACTTAGAATTAAGTGTAAGCTATTAACGGTATACTATCTATAGATAGACGGCTAAACGGAAATTAAGAATTAGGCCTTAGAGGTATACTTACGGCACTACGTTAATTACGTACAAAACAACTAGGTATCGCTATTGCCTATAGCACAACTTGTACTAAACAACTAACAATCTAAGACTACGAAAGAGACACTATTCTTCGCTAATTTTAGGAAACATCCGTAGCTGTTCGGGGAATAGTATTTATAGTATCTATACGCGGATAAAGCGATAGTCGCTTTAGAAGACTTAAAGCAGGTATATTAAGAATTGCAAAGGGCAATTGCCGAGTCTTAGGAAAAGATTATAGGACTATATAATGCTAAACGAAAAATAGCACCTTAGCTAAAGAAGGGGGATAAGGTCTACCTCCTAACAAAGAATCTAAAAACCCGGAGATCGACTAAGAAACTAGACTACGTTAAAGTCGGGCTATTTTTGATTAATAAGCCTAAAGGACTAGTTAATTACTAACTTAAACTACCGGACGACGCGAAAATCTACCTAGTATTCTATATCTCTATACTAGAACCTACAGACGCCGAAACACTGTATTAAGAAACATTTCACTTCTAACCTAAGGAAGAAAATAAGTTTAAAGTCGAGAAAATCCTAGACTAGTAAGGTTAGAAATACCTTATTAAATAGAAAGGATACCTATATTTAGAAAACACTTAGGAACTAAAAGAAAACCTGCAGAACTATTAGCAGATAATTAAAAAATATCAAAACCGGACAAAAAAGAAATAACTAGTATAGGAATTAAACCTACGACCTCTTAGACCCTATCGATTATAGCGCCTTAGAGTTCTTAACGACCTAGGGCAGTATAGCTCGAGGAGCGGGGACTCTAATAGCGTACCTAGCAACTATGTCTTTTAAGGCTAAGAATTATACTACTAGACTAACTAGCTAGAAGATAAAATAGATAGGAAACATTAAAAATATATACCTTTAGGACACTAGACTCTCGGCACTCCTACTAGGGATTTTAGAGACAGGCTAGAATGTCCTATCTAGACGACTCTAGTTATAAGGCGATATCTATAATCGGCTATCTAGGGGAAACGGCTCGTTAGTAGGTAACGAGAATATTATCGGCTCTATAGGCGAAGAGCCTAGCTCTCTTTCGAGCTCCTCCGCCTATTAAATAGAGGCTTCCTCTACCTTAAGAGCTTATATCTCCCGATCCTCCTTTATACATAGCGACTTACGTAAGCGACGGACCTTTGCGCGATACTTAAAAAGCTTCCGCGTAAGGAGGTCCTCCTCCTCTTCGGCTACTTCGAGATCTTTAGCTATCTTTAGGCGCGCCTTCCGGATTTTTTTATACTCTATATAAGTAACTTGTATATTATAGGACTAGCTATATAGGGCGTACTCGGAGTAGCGACCGGAACGAAGATCGACTTTGTAGGGTTTACCGGCCTATTTGTAATAAAAGTAGCGGATCGGTATTTCGAGGCAGTCGGCGAGGATATTATTTGCGATATTTTCCTTACGCTAGCGAGAAGACAAGTCTTTAGATAACTTTAGTATAACAAAGAAGTTAGAATTAGAAAGTCCCGGAATAAGGGACTATTCCGCTTAAGAAGGGGGATAGTATTACGGATCTAATTAGTTAGAGTCCTTATATAATCTTAGAGCGACGCTAAGACTAGTAGGCTAAGCTATCGCTCTATCTTACTAGAAGCGATAGGAGCGGTCGAGAGCGATAGCGTCGCTTACGTCGCTTACGACTATAGACAAGATGTCTCCTTTATATTTAGGAACGCCGGAATGCCCTTATAGCTCGAGGCGTTTAACTTATATTACCTACTTACTAATTGGAATTACCTTTATACTAATTATTCTGTCTCTACCTCCTGCTTATATTAGCCTCTCTAAAGAAGCCTCGGCTTATACGTAATAAGAAGTTACCTAACGATCTGTCGCGAGTAACCGTAACAATAGCTACCTATATTATTCTTAAGCTTCTAAAGATCTAATTATAATCTATCTAATATCACTTTGTCTAGAGCGGGTTAGCGCCTATCCCTTCGAAAAGACGCCCTCTAAGCGTTTTAGGCCGCCGTGCTAGGCTAGGACATACTATTAGCATTAGCATAGACAATTACACACGTACGTGCCCTTTATTAAGTCTACGAGTCGACGTACGAGCGCGTCGTAACAGAGAAACTCTACAGCCGCAGATTCCACTGGATGCTCTGGTTGCGTTAGTTGCGTTGGTTGACGCCGCCCCCAGGAGCAAGACTGAAATCGAAGACACGGCGTTTGACGAAAAGCGCAGCGATTCCAGAATACATCATTCTTTTACAATTGGGCGACGTCGATTACTTCGGACAATCACACTTGTGCAGCAGGAACTCGACAGCGCGTCTCGTTAAGTGCCGTACCAGAATGTCTACGCTACTACCCGCAGAATTCCACAGAGATTTTCTAAGGGGTGAAGTTCTCTCGTTTGGTGTCTCAGGGCATGTGGAATTGTCTGACTCCGGCTTCGCAATCAAAACGGCGTGGCGTAACGAAGCACGGAATGGACGCGCCGACCTTGTGCTGGAGGCAAAGATATATCAGATCCTCGGGAAGCATGATCGTCTTCTCGCCTTCAAAGAATGAGATCCCGAAGAATGTGCCATAACCCTGGAATTTGCACCGAATGGCTCGCTGAATGATTATCTGCGCGACCATCCGGACATCTCTTCGCAGCGACGGATGCAGTGGGCCACCGAGTGTGCAGAAGGTCTAGCAGTCCTACACGCCGCCGAAATCATCCATTTCGACTTTAAGCCTGGAAACTTGCTTCTCGATGCAGCATTGCATATCAAAGTCATTGACTTTGGCAGCGCATCTCTTCAAGGTTCCAGGCCCAATGGGTACAGTCCGTCACGATACTCGCCCTGGGGAAACGCACCGGAAGACACGTGGCCCCTTGGCGTTCAGGTGGATATATTTGCGCTTGGTTCAACAATCTTCAAAATATGGGCAGCTGAGGATCCTTTCGAAGAGCAGTCATCAGAAGAAGTGACCCTCCGCTTCTGAAAAAATGAGTATCCAGACGTTACCACGCTGTCCTGTGGAGACATCATTCGAAAGTGCTGGACTGGTGGATTCACATCTGCAGAAGAGGTAAACCAGGCGTTAGAAGCAAATGGACTACCATGATTCCACACTCAGACAGCGAATGAGTTGGTCACTATCTACATCAATCGCGACCATCAGGCCTCATTCATAGATCTAATAAGACCTGGATTACAAGAATGCTTGACAGCTCGCCTCACATCCAGAACTGCTCGCATCCACGCCTCAACGACCTCCCTCATATCCGTCATCCCTGTCGACTGGACACTGGCCTGGTTTTGTCGTTTGGCCCGACCGGCTGGTTGGAAGTGGAGGCGGGCATTTGGTTTGATTCTGCCGCTCCCGAGCAGCTTGATATTTTGCGACCGATCGGAATGTCCTGTCGCATGTGGTAAGTAGGGCAGCCTCTGTAGCGGGTGGTGAACTCCATGATTACACACATCTGGCCTTATCAGCTGTGGAGCGACCAAGCGAGGTACGAAATGGAAACATGAGGAGGACAATTACCCTAAGAATTTTCGCTACTTCCTGCTGCTTCCTGCTGCGATGATGTCGTTAAAAAGGGTGGGTCGGGATGGACGTGCGGACGCGTTTGATATTGCGGGAGATGGGCAGAAAGTGAGTTTCAAATGATGCAGAGGTGAAGCCGGAACTCCATGGCGGGAGCAAACATGATAAGTGTTCTCGTCTCTCCCCACTTTGCGACTGGATGTCTTTTCCTGGATCTCCATCACCATGGACAACAAAACGCTTCTATCTCCCTCTGAGGAGACTTTGCTGGTTAAAGACAATGCCAGACTGCATCATTAACTTTTCTCAACCAATCCTGAATTAGGGGACTTACCGGTCTTCGGACCTATCGAGGACTTACCGGGTGCCAGCGATCTAGATATGCAGCACTTGCTTATTTCCCCCGATCCTAGGCTTCGGGATGTCGAGGAGGCTTGTAAGAATGGGGATTTGGATCGTGCGTCTGCAGAAGTTCAGCAATTACTTCAGACAGGCATGGCTGCCGAAGACCTTCAGCTGTGTCTGTTACGAGCTGTTCAGTCTGGTGAAAGAGGACTTGGTGGAAATGCTGCTGTCTGTTGGTGTACCTGTGGTTCTTGAAACCGTCAAAACTGCGATCGCCAAAGAATCAATTGTGCTGCTCAAGCTGTTCCTGAAACACGGATGGAACATCAACGAGGAAGAGGCGTGGTGTATCCCTCCACTTCTTTCGCAAGTACAACACAACACCTAAGTCCCTGCGTTGTGGCTTACGAAGTATTTCAGATTCGCCATATCCATCAAAGCATCCGAGTCTTTGATTGATTGATTTTTGAGGAACGGGGCTGACCCAAACGCGGCCTGCAAGATGGATATCACACCATTGTCGACTGCTGTCGCGGAAGCAAGATATCCAACTGTAAAGCGGCTGTTCGACCACTGCCCTGCTACCACAGTTTTTCGAGGCCAGCAGCTCCATTGGGCCGCCGCACGGCGCGAACCGGAAGACAGTGATGCGATTCTGCGGCTTGTCCTGGACCGATGCAAGACCAACATCAATTCCATAATGTACGAAGATCGTGGCTTCTCATTTGAAGTCCACAAAGTTTTGGGGTTGGGCACTGCCCTTCATGAGGCTGCAAGATCAGGACGAGCAAGTACGGCCCACAGTCCGATCGAGAATGGCGCTGATATTTCTATCCGTGACTCGCGCGGGAATACGGCACTTGAAGTGGCAGAGCGTGAATGCAATTTCGCTGTTGCAGACGAACTTCGCACGAAAGCAGTCAAGACCTAGACATTACAAGGTGAAGACGAACCTACCAAGTAACATCCTACCGTAGTAGAATCCAACAAGTTGCTACTGCTAGTACCTAGTGTCTACCTAAGCCTAGGTAGAGGTTAGTAGCGCGATAGTCTTTAATAAATAAATTAAGCTACGTCCTATTTATCTGCTATTAGTTACTTCTATTATATAGCTTAACTTTAATACTAGTATCTAGTAGGCCGGCTATTAAGAATATAGAAAACTTAAACGGACGCTTTAGTAAAAAGTAAAGTATTACTAAATACCTATTAGTAAACTATAGAGATATATGCCTCGTCTATATTACTATTTCTAGAACTCTAGAGTAATTACTCTATCTCTATAGTAATTCCTAGTATAGTCTATAATTAATCTAATTAATCTAGACCCCCCTAAATTAAATTAGATTTAAGTTACTAGGACCCCTAGATTAGATTGCATTAGATTGCTTTAATAGGGGCTAGATTAGATTAGATTAAATTGCTAAATTAGTAGGACTAGGCGAGATTAGATTAGATTAAATTGCTAAGCCTACCTAATTTAGCCCTTTAGCCCCTAGATTAAATTGGATTGCTTCAAAAAGGGCTAGATTAAATTAGAATGCTTTAGAAAGGGGCTAGATTGAATTGAATTGGATTGCTTAGTCAGCAGGAATAAGCCAGATTAGATTGGATTGAATTGCCAAGCCAATCTAGATTGCAATCCCGGATTGATTGTGGACCACACTGTCTGTAGCGATTACTAAGGTTTAGACAACACTGTGTTGCTGGTAGACTTGCGAGATGCGATGCGTTGTGTATTGCAACCTGAAGACCCTTCACCTCTGGATCGTGAATTTGAATATGCGGATGGATGCAGACCGCACAACTCATCACAGTGATCATCCTTCGGGGTTCGGCACACGGCCAGGTACGCAAAGTAACTAAAGTGAGCTGAGGATGAATAGAGTGCATTGCGAGAGGAGAACTCCAGCTTGAATAGATGTAGCCCGTTCACTCTATTCTCTCTTGATCTCCAATCCTTCCAGTCTAAAATCACTTCATTTGTCAGAGTGCTGATACCAGGCCTATTAACAAGCACAATGACCAGCAGCGGACATTCACAGAAGCCTTTCGAGAAGGTATGAACTCCCCGTTTTACATGAGCACACAACTATTTACATGCTAATTGATACATCAGCTGCTCATCGTAGGAGCAGGACCTTCCGGCTTACTACTCGGGATCCTCCTTGCCCAGCACAACATACCTTCCCTAGTCCTCGAAGCGTATCCCTACCTAGACACCCGCCTTCGAGCAACCCAGTATGGCGTTCCCGCGACAAGAATCTTCAGAAGAGCAGGTCTACTCCCAGACTTCAGAAAAGCCAGCATACCAAAATTCCCAGCCATCTGCTGGCGTCGAGTGGCAGATGGCGAGAAGTTGATCGAGATCGACATGAGCGTTGTGGAAAACGAAGAAGATAGGATGACTGTACTTCCACTCGGCGAGATCATACAAATCATGTACCGTCACGTCAAGGAAAGATATGCGGGATTGATCGAAGTCAGATTCAATCACAAGGTCACGAGTACAGGACAAGACGACAAAAAAGCTTGGGTGAACGTTGACGTTGGGAATCAAGAAGCTGGAGAAGAGATCAAACAAGATCGAATCAGCGCAGACTACATTCTCGGCTGCGACGGCGCTGGCTCAGCAGTTCGCCGCAGCCTCTACGGGAAAGAATGGCCCGGCCAGACCTTCTCGTGCCGTTTCATGGTCCAGAATGTTTTCTACGATGGCTTCAAGGCACACGGCTGGGACGCAGGGAATTACATGATCGACCACGAGCACTGGGGCCTGATCGCCAAGCGGGGCTACGTCGAAGGTCAAGGCGATCTCTGGCGTGTCACGTATGGCGATCCAGCAGTCGGCCTCACGGATGAAGAATATCTTGCTCGCAGGCCTTGGCATTTCAAAGCCATGTTGCCTGGAAATCCCGATCCGGACCAGTATCGTATTGAGCAGACGAATATTTATAATATTCATAATCGATGCGTGGATTCGTTTAAGGTTGGACGTATACTGCTGGCAGCTGATGCAGCTCATGTATGGTAAGAAAACAATCATTCGACAGCAACCGCAAGGTCTGAGACAATTGCTGACCTTTGAGTTATTAATTCTTAGCAACCCGATGGGAGGGTACGGATGCATGACTGCATGCTTGGATGTCGGTGGTCTTGCCGATTGTCTGATTGGATACTTTGAGGGCAAGGCTGGTGAGGAGATCCTAGAGACTTATGCCAAAGTGAGAAGAGATATATTTCTGAGATATGTTGATGCTAGGAGTATCAAGAACTTGGAGCGAGTGCGAAGTAGTGATCCTCGGACTGTGAAAGAGACGGATAAGTTCTTCGGGATAATCCAAGATCTGAATGCGAAGGGTAAGCAGGCTTTGAAAGAGTTCTTGCTAGTGAGCCATCTCCACTACCTTACACTCCTGATTCGTGTTCGAGACTAATCGCCCTCGCAGAAAGTAAGCTCTATTGAGTACGACTTTACTCAGCACTACGACCGAAAGCCAAGCGACTCCACAGCACGACCAGGAACAAAGGGAATCGACTCATCTCAAGTAGAAGTAGCAGAATCTTGAAATCCCGGCGTCTCATCCTCCTCACTCAACAATCTTTCTAGCTTCTCATCCACAACCTCAGCAGCCCTCTTCACCTACTTCCCACTGCCATTCCTCCCAGCAACCAAATTATCGTACTAGGCCCAATTCGCACGTATCAACCCCCCACAGCTACGAACAACCCAGCAGTACTATCGTGTCTCTACATCGTGATCGCAACTAATAAACTCTGACAACTGGTCTGCCTCCACATACGCCGAATGAATCCATCCACATCCATTCTCCACGTGAGAAAATCTGGAATTGTATCAAGTCATGAGAGCCTAGGGACCTGGCGCTTGGCGGTTTTGAAGGACTCGAGGGAATCGAGGTGGTTGAGGATACTAAGGTCTAGGGAGGGAGTGGGGTGTTTGATGTCGGATTGAAGGCGTGAGAGGAGGGCTTGGGCGAAGAGCTTGGGGATTTTGTAGGATATGCGAGTGATTTGATAGGTTTCTCCTTGTTTGGTGGCCATCGTAGCTGTGTTTGATTAGATGAGGCGTGGAAGCTGAAGTTTGAGAGGATCGTTGTCAGCTAGAGCATAGATAGGATTAGGTTGCAGATTAGTGAATGTGTAAGGATGGGCTGTTTTGACAATATTTGATGTGAAGTTCGAAAGAACTCTATATTCATGGCTGGTAACACATTATCTGATAGCATATCTCGTTGCAGTGTGCCTTTGAGACTTAGTCCATTTCCCAGACATGATGCCAGGAACTACCGCTGATCCGATTAAGGTATGGTAAGATCCATCATCACTCTTACGCAAGATGAAAGGCCGACTGGCTCCCAGCGGAACAACGATCTCATCGCCTTCGTGAAGACTCGAAGGTCCAAGTCCGAGAAAGCCGTGGCTGGTCTTGAAGAAGTCACGTTCGCGATGATGCTCGACATATTCGTGGAATTCCAGTCCTTCGCCGCCGGTGACGAATTGTGTCGGCAATCGCTCAACCTCGGCCATGTTCTTGCATTCAAGAACGTCTCGACGCATTGGTGCATCAAAGGTGTCGCGGGTGAGGTAGTATCGTTTGCCTGAGGTTCTGGCATACGCGAAAAGGTTACCGATATCTCGCGCGACATTGAAGTCTCGCTGGATGCTGCGGTTGCCGCTGTCATACGCAGACTGAAAGCGTTCTGGGATGAACATCGCTTCTGCTTCAGCCCGATCAATCTTGGTCTTGTATCGTTCCTTGACGTGCTTCTTGTCATTGGAGACGTCCTTGGATCTGCCCTCGTAATCCAGATATGCCAGATCTTGATGTCGCTGATGTTTGTATGAGGTGATGATATCACGCTTCGGGCCTTTTGCTATCCTCTGCATTTCTTCTACTGTACTTCGCTCTCCGTGGAAGAGATAGTCTAACATGAGACGTCCAATTCCAGGATTGACATCAAGCCGATGATGTGATGCAAATTCCTCATACGATGCGAAGTCGTACTCGAGCGTGTTTAAAATGCTGTCGACAATGTGTCCACGCTCCTTCAAACTATTGTAGATCAGGCAGCCATCTGGTGTCTCCTCATATGCCGGAACACTCTCAAGTGAGGTTCGACTGCGGATCGTATCAAAGTAGATGGCTTCGAAGTACATTGTCCTTGGCATGTCGTAGTGCATTCCGTCCAGAGCCCAACTATGTGTCCTGGAAAGCTCTGCTAGGCGTGACTCTGTCAGGGCAGTTTGATCTAGTCCAGCTCTGAATTCGTCCGGGCCTGAGACTGATCTTTCACGCAGAAGGCAAGTCAGGTCGGGCATCCACGTGGGCATTACGCCTTCGACTGTATTTCGACCCCAGCGGGTACGATCTATCCTTTTGTCGAGGAGAACATCCAAGCTATTTGTCTGCATCACAAGATACATGCAAGAGTTTTCGAGCACACGGAGCACGCTATGCCTGTAATCGGGGTCGAATGTGAGCGAGTCTTGATCGATCATGCCAAGTAGGGCAAATACGCGATCGCGTGGATCGCTGCACAGGAAGCCGCCTGTTTGCGAGAGTAATCCATAGAGTTTTGCTTGTTGCCCGTCCTGACGCCTCTGGAAAAGAGACAATGGATTGTTGTCGGCGTCGAACAGGGAGCGAAAGTGGTCCCAACCTATAGCGTGCGGCCCTATATAGACCGAAGGCGTCCTTTGAGAGTAATAGAACTCTTGAACACACCACAGCCGTTTCCACCAGACCTTTGCTTGGCCAGTCATGTCATCGCGATCCTTGAGCTCGACTAATTCGCGTCCTAGCCCATCAAAGACATTATCGTGCTCTAAAGCTGACAGCTTCGGACCCGTGCAAAGAGTGGGCTCAGAGTCGTCCGAATCTGCCACCCATCTCTGACATGTCGCTCGATCCGGCTCCAGATCTCCAATCCAGATGATGGTGCGGAATGCGGTAGCAAAGATCCTGCGCATAAGCGAGATTTGATGGTTCTTTTCGTCCACATTCGCCTGGTTGATACAGACGGCATCAATCCAGACAAGGCGGTCGTGATCTTCCAGTCGGAGACGCCATAGCGCTCTCCAGAGATGCTCTGAAACCACGAACCCACTGAGTCCCCCGCTGGAGATCTCGTCCATTCTGTCATTTCCCCCGCCCCAGCAGTACGACAGCGCCTCATATCTTGGTGGGGATGCAAGATGATAGTGATCTAGGTAGCAACAAATTCCTGGGCCTGTACCTTGCACAATTCGTAGAATTCTGAACTCGTCGAGGGTCAGATATACGATGATCTACCAGCACGGATTGAGTAGCGTCAAGCACCCGTTGGCAATGCTTGAGGAAAGCCTCGACCGTACAGAGTCTGGGATGTTCTTTGCCCGTCCATGTTTCTATCTTTTGTGCTTGGTATATGGCTCGCTGTAGGAGACCAAGCTCAGCAAGCGCGTCTATGGATATCGAGTCGTCATCTCGACTGCGATTGCCGATAGCATGGGCGATGTAGTCGAGGTGTGTTGCGAGCTGGGCGAGATCGAAAGGCGCGTTGGTGGTGGTGGACGTGGTTGGCATTCGGGCCGCTTCGGCGAGTGAAAGGAGAGGACAAGGATGAACTACATTTCACAGATCGAGGCACGCGACATCAGTTACGATGCCTAGGACCGGGTGGGATAATCCCAGGCCGAGGGGGTAACCAAGCGATACATCGAAGGATGCAGCATGGCGGCCTCGGCCTCGACGCCGCAGTGGTATAATATGATCATCGCGAGGCCACAGCCACCACGTGCTCGAGGGATACGCCTGAAAGCGAGCTGAAAACGAGACGACGTCCATCGCCTATGCTATGCGCGCTGCTACAACTCAGATAACAAGGCTTGTGGTTGCATATTGCCACCTCGATTGTATATTCATAATAGTGTCTTTCAATCACGGGCGCCAATCTGACATCGGCAGCCGGACTTCAACGATCAAGTCTTGAGCACCTGGAGTATGCGTCTTCACAGCATTCGACAGGACTCAAATATTCGATGCCTAGCTTAGGAAGTGCATTCTTCTGGCCTGGAAAAGATCCTGAAGCAACCGTCGCTGGCTTTGGGCGAAAGAGAATCGTGCAGCAACGAAATGCCTTTGTGAAAACATTGGAAGAATCTGGCTTCAATTGGCTAGTGTTCATGGTTGCCGCCTCTGGCTTCTTCACAGACTCATACTGTTCTTTTCCGGAAGGTTGAGAATGCCAAGACCTCTGGTTTTGAGCCTCGTAGAACACCAAAATTAGGCTTTCTATGCCTTCTATCACTATAATCACACCGCCTCTTTTATACCAGCCCCCCAGTATGTGTTGTAATAGCTTCTTGCTACCGGAGGTCGCTGTTCTTATCGCTACGAGCATAGCGACTGAGATTTGGCGCGTATACGTCGAATATAACGTTATATCGGAAGCACGCGCGACGCGTTCTCGAAAGGCACCTTCGAAGGACCTACTAGCGCACAAGGAAGCGGTAGAGCGGCGCGAGTCGCCTGCTAAGAAGGGTAAGAAGAAGGCGGTCGGCGGAGGTAGTAGTAGAAAGCAGAAGAAGACGGCGTAGCAGGAGAAGTTTAACAATATAACCGCTTTCGAGGCCGCGGCGTAGAGGGACTTCTAAGTTGACGATGTCGCTACTGCTATAGAAGAAGGTAATAACGGCGAGGTTGATATAGCTAGTTAAGTTAAGGTTGGCGAGTTAACGCGTTTAGCTAATAGCTCGCTATTACGAGGGCAGTATAGGAGGCGCCTAGTTAATAGTTAGTAGATGAACGAGGAAGACGTATCTACGCTATCTCATAACCCTCGTAAGGACCTTCAGTATAAGCAAACCTAGCGCCTTCTTACTAGCAATAACGAGTTAGCATTCGAGAACTATAACCGCAATAGCGCTAGCACTTAGTACGCCGAAGATGCGTACTATTAGGCTAATAAAGAAGCGTAGAAGAAGCAGCTCTATATCGGCGACTATATATTAATCGTGTCCGCTGCTAAAGTAACGAAGGGTAACTAGTTTAAGCAGAGTTAGAAGAAAGGTAAGGTAACGATATTCTCACAACGGCTACTGTTTCTAATCCTTCTATAGCGGACGATTACAACAAGGCCCTCGACTACGCCGTAGAGTTAATAAACGATAGCAGAGACAAGATTAAGATTAATGTCGAGTTTAAGACTACCGCTAAAGACGCTAGAACTAGAGCCATTCTCAAAGTTAGCAAATTGAAGCTAAACGACTAGCAGACTATTAATAGTGTTGCCTTTATTGCTAAGGAGCAGAAACGAGGCAATTACACGACTAAGCTTCTTGCTAGTTATATATATACTCTCCCTAGCTGCGAGAACTACAATAACTACTGCTATAGACCTAAAGGACTGCTAGATATTGAGCGCTATTATTACTGGTTCTATAGTAAGGCTACAAAGCTATAGTTACATGCACTTGCTATTAAGGAAGAGGGTGTAACACTTCGAAAGCCGCTATATAGTGTATTCGCTAAGATACAGTTGTTTAAGGAGAAACAGCAGTCTCGGAAGCCTTATAGTCTGCTTGCTACTACAAAGGAGCCCTTCTAACAGACTCTAGTAAGGGGACGCTCTATAGCACTAGTTTATCCACCGCCGCCGGCTATTGACTATATTAAGCTCTTCGAGACTATGTTCAACTTAATCAATTAGCAGCTAGGCGTTGCTCCTGCCGCTTAGCAAGAAGCTCAGCCTATACAACAACAACAACAACAACAAGAGTCACCTATTCTAAAGCAGGTTGCTTAGCGGCTTAATACACCGCCAAGAAGTCTACTTAGACAGTTCTTTATATAGGTAGCGACACAGTATAAATGGAAAGAGCTAGAAGACAAAGAACAGCTCTTAAAGATAGAAGCACACTTTGTAACTAAACGATATAACTGTGACTAGTTATATCAACTTCCTTTAAGAGAGTAGAAGGAGCTTAGCTTCTTTAAAGGCGACCTAGGCACGTTGCGTAACTGTCTAAAGCGTTTTCAGAAGGAAAAGTTAGCTAAGAGAGAGTGAGACAATAACGATATACGTAACGGAGCGACGGCTGTTCTCATTAGTTTAGGTTAGCTAGGCGTTTGCTTACAATCTACGAATTCAATAGCTTGTTATTTGCTCCGTTGCGTATACCGCTATTATTATCGTTGCCTCGAGAGTGCTTTCCGGAGGTGAAAGCGGAGGAGGTATATAGGGCTTAGTAGTACGCACTATTACATTATTAATTTTGCTACGCCAACAATACACTAACTATATACATAAAAATCGCAGCGGAGCTTTAGATACATATTATCTTGTTATCCTATAGATACTAAGACATATTATCGATGTTGTAGTAGTTAGATCTGAAGCGACTAGAGATTGCTAGTAAGCTAGCTTTCTACGTCAATCTCGGCTTTATCTTTAAAGCCGTATACGTTATATCCGCTATGCTTGAATAAGCCTGTTATATCTATCTTACTAACGTAGTCTAGAGCCTATATAAGGAAGTCTTGAAAGGACTCGAAGTTAGCTATAAGGTCTTTGTTCTTCTTTAGCTATTTCTTTAGGATTGCGAAGGTCTATTCAATTAGGTTTAAGTCAGGAGAGTATAGCGGCAAGTACTTAAGAGTGTGGCTAGCTAACCGGATTATCGACTCGACCTTCTCGCTATAGTAGATTAAAGCGTTGTCTATTATAATAATTATACTTCTGTTAAGCAGCGGTAGCACTTTATTCTCAATCTAGTCGTTAAAGGTGACCTAATCAACAGCGCCTTAGATACAGAGGGTATAGGGCAAGTATCCATTAATTGTAAGCGCTAGAAGTACTAATATTCGTTCTTGCCGTTGCGTATACTAATAGTCGTAGCAATCAATCCCCTTCGGAGACTATCTAAACTTACGGTATCTACTCTTCTTATTAGAAGCCGTCTTATCGATAAATACTAACTTATCGACAGGCTATTTCTAGCTCCTCGTATGCTAGGCGGCTCTTGCTAGCGGATTGCGCTCCTTCGCGACCTTCTAAGAGGCCTTCCTTGTCTATCTAATCTTGTATAAACAACGCTATACCGTAGACGGATCTACCTCAATCTCGAAGCGATCGAATAGTACTATACACATCTCCTCAAGGTACGTCTTAGGTCGCTTTAAGAGGTACTTAAGGAGGTAGATTTCTATTTCCTTCGTTATCTTCCTCTTACGACTCGATTTGAACCGCTTCGACGGCAAGAACACCTTACTAAACTGATTATAATAGAACTTCTAGCGATATACGGTCGACTGGCTCGCACCTGTCTTTAATACAATGTCGATTATATCGAGTCCACCATCGAAGTATTCTTTAGCGAGTCGAGCGGTGCGGGCAGGCAGGGCGGCAGGAAGGGCGCGGACGGCGCAGAAGAGGTAGAATAACACTAACAACAACACCTTAGACTGCATATTCAACGGCTATACCAACAACATGTATTTTCTCGTGTTTGGGGCTATATAGCTAAAGAATGGGAAGAAATGGCCGATTTACTAGCAAATTCGTGGTGGGGTTTCCCAGGTCTTGGCATTCTCAACCTTCCGGAAAAGAACAGTACAACCTCTTCGCGTCAAATGTCATTCTGCCGGCACTCGCTTTCGTCTACTGGGATGGCACGCCTCATAACCAGGCGCTCGCGTTCAATCTTGCCACGTTGGTAGCTTCAGCTGTGGGCCAGCTTGTATTTGGAATTGTCGCAGACCTCTACGGAAGGCGTTCCCTTTACGGCATTGAGCTGGTGATTGTCATTTTCAGCACCATCGGTCTCCTTCAGTGTTCGCCAGGATTTCGAGACGATCAAGGCAACACAACGTGGGACGTGTCGACATGGATCATCTTCTGGCGAACGATCATGGGATTCGGAATTGGGGCTGGTGAGTAAGTTTCGCCAGCGCATAGCACTCAGAGCTGACGACGAGGTAGAGTATCCACTGAGTGCCACAATCGCCGCTGAATGGTCATCGACCGAGAGCAGAGGACGCATGCTAGCAGCAGTGTTCCTAATGCAGCCTCTCGGTCAGCTTTGCGCCTATGGTGCCGGACTCACGGCGCTGCGCATCTTCAGCTACAGCAAAGTGGACATTGACAAGCTGTGGCGCTATGTCGTCGGTGCAGGTGCCTTCCCTACCTTGCTAGCTCTGGGCTTCCGAATATACATGCCAGAATCGGGCCGCTTCACGTACGATGTTCGTAAAACAGGACCCAAAGAAGAAATGATGGCCAACGACTTGCGGTCTGATGAAACTTCAATATCACCCACAAACTCACGCGAACACTCCCCAGAGAGGCCAGCGCGCTCAGCGAGGAATCAGTTCAGATCTGTCGAACTCTGGCAATATCTATACCATGAAGGAAACTGGACTTATCTATTCGGCACATCCATCTGCTGGCTCTTACTGGACTTTGCATTTTGTAGGCAAGATGCGCTCCGACGCCTGCAAGCTGCTGACCGATAACAGATGGTTTGGGATTCAACAATCCCGCTACCTTGGCCAAATTATGGTCATCCGGAGACCTGGCCTTCCCTGGAGACGCGCCGTGGTGGCTCAATTCTTCTGACGTCTTAAACCAGACCATCTCGGATGTCACTGTCATCAACGGTCTCTGGACCACGAACAACACAATCGCTGAACCTCTGATCGGCACAGTGCTAGAGCACAACATGCTCCATGCCATCTACACCGTTTCGATCTCCTCGATACTTGGCTCCATCTTGATCATCGCTATAATCAACCACTTCGACCGAAAGCACATGCTCACAGCAAGCTTCGCTCTCCTAACCACCGTTCTATTCGCAGCATTCGCCAGCTTCAAAACTCTATTTCACAACGGCGATCTACATATCGTGCTCATAATGTTTTGGGTGCTGATATCATTTTTGTTCAGCTTCGGACCAAACACACTCACCTTCGTCATCCCGGCCGAGATCTTTCCCACGAAATACCGATGTACATTCTACGGCACGGCAGCAGCTCTCGGCAAGATTGGAGCTGTGTTGGTACAGATCGTGATCTTGCAGACACCTTCGATATTGCGCCCCAATTCGAGCTCGATACGATGGCTGCTGTTTGGATTTGCATTCTGCATGTTGGCGGGCGCTGTGGTTTCACATTGGTGTATTCCCCGGGTGCAGAAGTCGCCTGGTTTGGAAAATATACCTTTGGAGGAGATACCGAATCGATGCTCAAGGAGTAGAGATGAAGTGTTTGCGATGGAGAGCGTAGACAATGACAAGTGAAAATTTTGATATCTACTGCAAGAAGTCCAGCAAAGTGATTAATTGCCCTGTTTCACTGACGATGATGAACACATCTTACTATGACCTACTCGGCGCGTATTCGTCATACGAGGACTGATATCCCATAACGTAGCGCCCAAAGAGAGCGCCAATGGCTCCAAGAATACGACTCAACAGTCTACCACAGCCAGGCAGCATGACAACGACACCTCCTTGCCAACTGAAGCACACAGCTTGCAACAGGCTTCTCCCAACGGCCGCTTTAGCGCAATCTTGCCTGTAGCTCCAGGAATTGCGAAAGAAAATCTCCTCATTGGTCAGACCAGTCGTGGTCAAGCTCGAGAGCGTCGGACTCAGAGCAAATTCAAGCTCCAGCACATCCTCCGAACTAGCATTGCGAAAAGTGTGTACGACACCTTTGGGGATCAGAACACTCTGCTCCGGTCCCGCTACTTCGACTTTACAGGTATATGAAGAGAGTGGCGCGAATATGTCCCAGAGGCCTTCTGAGCGGGGCTGGTAGGTATAGAAGGCTGCCCGCCCGGCTGTGACCTGGAAAGTCTCGTCTTGTGAATGATGATAGTGTAGAGGCGGACCCAGTGCTGAGTTCGGGGTAGAGGGACCCGATGAATTCGTGCTCGTTGCTGAGACTCCGTCGCCTGGCAAACAAGGCGGTAGTCGATTGACTGCTATCACGGGCTGAGTGGTTGGGATCGAAGCAAAGGCGGCATTGTGCTTGAACCATGCTCTTGACTGGCCGTCGTCGAATATCAAAGTTTCTAGAGTCGATGTCTTCGTCCGCGGTGGAGCCTGCTTCATGAAAGAGAGCATGTTGTGCGGTCGATCTGACTATCGCAGGTGTTCCGCCGTTGCTCGAGATTGAATGTGCCAGGTACCAGACGAAGGCAGTTTCACGAGGCTGAACAGGGGGGCCAGCGGCATACGGACTCAGGTCCGTTTCTTGGCAACAACAACCCTTCGCAAACGAGGGCGAGGAACTTCGGAAACACAACAATGTTGGCTCTACGCGCCCTGGATTATTACGCTGAATGGCCTTCGTGTATGAAACGGACAGGACAATGCCGATGACGAAGATTTCGACATTCCGCTGCAACGCTCAAGACCACACCTTCATTCACTCGCAACGTCATCCGCCCTGACACCCCCTTATCACGAATATCTCAAGAGTTTGGATGCGAATGCGGCCAGAAAGAAGCAGGGGATCGATCTGAACTCCAAGCAGATTGATGATGAGAGTAGGGTTGAGACTTGGAATAGGCCACAGACTGCTTGCTCGGTCATCGTAAGGCGGCTGATTGCCCTTCGCTAAACACCGCCGATGACCAGATGACCGCTCATTCAATGCAGTCGACTCAACGATCCTCCGGCATATTGCAGCTTGATTTCCAATCGAGACGTAACTGCTTTAGCACTGGAGGGGCATAAGATGGCCAGATGCTCTGCTTAGCCTGCATAGGCCTTTCTGAAAGAAGGAAATGCTGAACAACACGATTGAGCTCATTTGCTCTCCAGAATGTCCCAAGAATGGATGTATAGTGTCAGGCCACCAAGCTCTGTCAGGGCACGGCGATGGGCTCATTTACAGCCTCGAGCACGACAGCCCTTCAAAAAGAGCTTATTCTGGAGCTTAGCGTATTGGCATTACCCGTCGGCTTGAAGTTTGATTCGAAGGATGGCGTATCATTGAGTAGATGGGAAGATTTTGCCAGCACTTCCAAGATATGCATCCTGGAACTGCGTACAAGTTCCTCTACTCGAAGCAGACACGATCGTCGAGCTGCAACCTCCTCGCCGTTAGAAAGGGAAACCTCTCCGCCGGAGATCCAAGCTAGATCAGCAGTCTTCCGCAGCAATAGACGCAGCCTAGGACCACAAACTCGCATCATAGGCTATTGGGGTAAAAGCTCGTAGATCGAGACAGTCTGAAAAGCGAGATTCTTGAAGGGAGGCTGTCTGCCAAAGGTGATTCATGCGGTCTTGACTTTCGCTACTGTTGCAAGAGGCAAAGATGACCAGTTAAGACGGCATCAACGCCACGGAAAGTCCGTCGGAAGGCTGCAACAGTCTTGAGGAAGATCATTGCCCAAAGGCACGATGTACGAACGATCACGCAGCCTTTACCAACGAATCAGCATTCCTGTAGGTGAGGCAATTCAAGCCTCATCTGTTTGCAGGGCTATCACGTACTCCATCACACGTCCTCAACAGCATCACCTGTCCCATAGCAGCAACAATCATCCTGCCGAGGCGATCGACGTTCAGCTATGTGGCGACAGTAGCAGACGAAGACGTTGCAGATCGTTGCCAGTACACTATGATGCCATTGCTCTTTAGCGACAAACTCCGGTGCTCAAGGCATCGCGGAGGTAAGAGGAACGAGATATATAAGACCATCTTATACCGAACAAATCCTCTGTCCATTCACAGTTTACCCAAAGCATCTCTTCCCACAGCATATTTTCTCCTCCTTGTCACGATGAAGACTATCCTTCTCCTTGCCGGTGCATTCAGCGCCTCAGCCTTCCCCCAATTGAAAAGAGGAGGCGAAGACCTGGAATTCATGCTGCGTAGCCTCTACCACAACGAAGAGAAGCGTAGCTTGATGACTCGCGACGACTACTTGGGGATATCCAAGGCCGAAACCAACTGTGGTACACGAGCATGCCCGACCTTCGATCCAAAGGATCAGCTGGTTTCAGTCAGTGGCGAACATGCCTGGGTGAAACCCGGTGCGGGTGATATTCGCGGTCCATGTCCTGGATTGAACGCAGCAGCTAACCACGGTGAGAATTTCTCCAAGAGTTACATCAGGTCGAGAGTGTTGCTGACCGGTGACGTCTAGGCTATCTGCCACGCAACGGCATCGCATCGCTCGAGCAGACAGTCTCTGGTCTTGGTGCTGCTTACAACCTTGGCCCAAGAGTCTCCGCCGCACTCGCTGCCTACGCCATTGCAGTCGACGGCAACGTCGCCGAAGGCGTCTGGTCCATTGGCGGCCCACTCCCGACCGACGAACTAACCGGCGCAATCCTCGGGACCGGTCAAGGCCTGTCATACTCGCACAACAACTACGAAGGCGACTCCTCCATCGGCCGCGGCGACGCCTACATCAACAACGGAGACGCCCACTCCCTGAACATCACCAGATTCGAACAAGTCTACAACATCGCCGTCAAAGACGGCAGCAACCGCTACACCCTCGACAAATTCCGCGCCAAATTCGAAGAAGCGCAAAACGAGTCTATAGCCAACAATCCCTATTACTTCACCGGAGCCTTCTCCACCGTCGTCGTCGTACCCGCCGCGTACAACTTCGTCATCAACCTCATGAGCAACCATTCCGCCGAACAACCCGCCGGCTATCTCGACGGCTACAACTTCAAATCCTTCTTCGGAGTCACCGGCCAACCCGGAAGCTTCCAATGGCTGAAAGGCCAAGAGCGAATTCCAGAAGATTGGTATCGCCGCCCTTCCTACGCTCCCTACGAGGCACAAGATGTGATCGGCGACGTCGCCATCGGCTACTTGGCTTACCCGAGGACTCTGAAGTTCGGCGGTAATACGGGAAAAGTCAACACCTTTACTGGACTCAATGTCGCGAATATCTCCGGAGGGGCCCTTTCTGCAAACACGTTGTTTTCCGGGGATAATTTCGCGTGCTTTGCTTTCCAGCTCTTGCAGCAGGGGATTCCGGATTTCCTGAATCTCGCTGTGAATGATCTTGCCCCGATCACGAATTTGGTTAACAAGTATGTTGGACCGATTGTTGGGGGGTTGAGCTGTCCGGAATTGGGGAAGTTCGATGTCGGGCTTTTTGATCAGTGAGTCCAACGATTGTTTTTTTTTTTGCTTACAGGGAGTTTTTTTTGCTGATTTTTTCGTGACAGGTTTCCCGGGTACAAGTATAGGCCTACCGGGCCTGCTACGAACTATTAGACTGGCTGCTGCTGCAGTCGTAGTCTGAGTTGGAAATTATAGGAAAGACAAAGTGGAAGCCGTGGACGGCTACTGGACGCTGTGATCATGAGATATATCACGACAAATTGGTGTGGCAGAAGTTGGGCATGCCTATTTCTAATGTCACCAGGATTTTTATTCTCGGAGTATTGACTTTCGTTCTACTTTAATCAGAGCAGAATTCCAATTTTCGCCCTGAGATTAGTGGTACTCAGTGCACGTTTCTCATCGCCCAGACGACGTTCGCGCTTCAGAGTGTATTGCGGTCTGATCAGACCTGTAAGCGACGAAATACCTCCCAAAGTCTTCTGACACGCAACTTACGTGCTCAATTTTCGCAAGTCCGATCATCGACCTGAAAGCCTTTGAATCCCGTCACAACTTCCAGTCTCTCAGCAATGCTCCCGCCTCTTCGTAAACATGTGCAGGCGATAATCTTGCTTTCTCTCACCGAAAAGACCTCCAGCGTCGGATTCATGAAGATAAAGTCTGCGGCACTATGTGCTCCTAAGACACCATTGGTCAACCGAAAAGTCTTGATGGAAGGAAGTCGTTGTCGCATGAGCGCCAGCGTAAGGCCTTCGATATCGCAATCATCCAGGAAATCATAGTCGTCAATGATATCGTCCCTGAAGGCGACTGCCAGATGTTTGAGAAGAGGGGCTTCTCGGAAAGCGTCTGTGAATGCTGTGGCCGCCTCACCCAGGTCGAGATATGTCCAGATGCTAACATCAATGCTGGTGAGCTGGGAGAGGGCGAGGATGCAGCCGGGACGCGAGAGCCTCCAGACTTCGTGTAAAGGTAGACTCCAGGATGAGCTGTGCTCGGCCACGATTTCTAGGTCGGTGATGATGGCACCGGACATGCCCAGAGTACTAATGATGTTCAAGAAATTTGTCATATCGGTACGACTCGGTGGCTTCATTCTGTGCGCTACGGCTCGCCCATCATCGCCGACCGCCCTTCCCGCTGGCCAGCAGCACCGCTTCCAGCAGCGTGGGGCGCCGGACTTCATTCGGATTGTGGTGAGATTATCTCTGTTCGCCCACAGAAGGCTGAAGAGATGCTGCAGACCGAAGTTTTCGCGTGAGTACGACTCTTGGTCAAACCAGTAGGCCCAGTCTTCATGGTCGGGATGGAGCCGGGGCAGGCAGTCCAGGTGAACATTGAGGATGCTGGCCTTTTTGCCAAATGCCGGATGATCCGCAAGCTCCAGTGCGTTTTGCAGACTGTGCTCGTCGCTGAGCACGACATCTATTGTCGTGAAACAAGTGGCGATATATGTCCGAAAAGAGCGGCGAGCGGAGGCTCTTGACACTAAGCGTAGCGATGCCAGACTTCGCGGTGAGAGGCATTCTGTGATACACTCGAAGAGCTCGAGTGGCAATCTCTCGAATGATGCCTGTGAGATCATGACGCCTGTCACAGTATCATCGACCTTGTGTGCGGAGGGCTCCATCGGCGTCGTGAAGTCGAAAGCATCGCCTGCTTTTCTGTGGGTGGGAGTGGCAGTGGGAGGCGGAAAAGGCTTGGCTTGGACGAAACCACGGTACCCTCCAATGCTGCCTCAGGTTCCTCTCCTTGTCTCTCTATCCTCTCAACCGCAGAACAAGATGAACCGTAGATTTCTGCTGGATACCGTGGTCCGCCATGCTCCGTCCCTCTTCGAGTTGCCGTCCAGCGAAAATCAACCGCATCTGGTCGGGTGGAACACCGGTGATTTCTTGAATCTGAAGCTTAAGTTCATCTACAGTGGCATGAGTCGACGTCTCCAGTGTCAATGTCTTCCCAGTTAGTGTCTTGACATAGATCTCCATTTTGTTATTGCCCACGCCCAGAAGCAGATGCAACGTGGAATCTCGGCCGATGTTATACGAGGCAAGTGACCTGATATTCTCGAGTTGCCTGCCGCTGCATATGAGACGCTGCCGTTCGGGCGGTATCTCTTCTTTGCTGTGGATCTGCGCCTTGACCGTGGAGACGAGATCCGAAGGTCGAACAACCAAGGAGATTGTCTTGCCTGTGAGCGTCTTGACAGAAATTGGCATAGGCTCATTTATGACTGAAGGGGAGGTGTTGCTTGAAGTGTACTCCTCCCAGGAAGGCGGTGTTCGGTAAGGAGGCGCTGTAAAGTGTCCCACATTCTGCGCACGATCTCGCGCCTGCTGGTCTAGCACCTGTTGAGACCGCTTACCGCCATTTAGCAGTCGCCTGAAGAATCCTGGCTTGTCTTCTCTGGGGACGACAGGCGAGGAAAGCTTGGTCGCAGTGTTGGTAAATGCGACCTGCGAGATGGGATCCATAGCAGGAGTCACAGCCTCTGTCGACCAGTTTGGACCGCTCATGACGTGCGTGCTACTGCTCGCTGGCTCTGTGTCAAAACGCATCGGTGCTTTTCCGTTGTCCTTGGCTGACGAGATCCCAGCCTGAGTCTTCGATAGCACAGCAGCCTGCGTAGACGTATTAGTCTCAATCATGCCAAGGCGTATCTTCCCAGTCTTCTCAGCGGTAGCCAGGAGGCGATGGAAAGCTTTGGGGTTCTCGCTGTTCAAAGGCACGTCAAATTGCTTCTTGCCGTTCGACCACTTGTGAAACAGTATCCCATTGTTTTCAAAAGGGAGTCCGAACGCTTCACTGATCTGCGAGAATTGTTAGCCAACCAGATCTGATGGACATCAGATGGATGGATCAAACCTTGACGTTGAAGACACGCTCTTCCAGATGATCGAGAGGTAGCTCTTTACTTCCATCGATGCCATCAATGCTTACGGACACCATGCGATCTGAGACCAGTGCTCCTGTAACCGGCGATGCCGTCCGCGATCCTCCAATTGATTCCAATGATGCACTTGTGACTGCAAACTCGGGGTCATTTGCTGATTCTCTTTGAGTCGAGGACGATGGCGGCACGTTCGTGTTCTTCAACTTTTCTTCTTGCACTGCCAAAGTAGGTTGATCCATGAGGGTCGACTTCTTCTTTTCAAGAACATCAATAGCACCCTGATCTCGTCGACTCGCTATTGGAATGGTTCGTTCATGTTCTGGATATTGCCTTCTCAACCTGGCCGTTTCTTTCTCAACTTCCTCCTCGTATCTGCGCCGCTCAGCCCTTTCTTCCGCGTCGGGACCTATAGCAGGCACTTTAGACTTAGCTTTCTGCTCCCACTCTGCCCTTTTCGCCATACGTGCTTCGATCTCTTTCAGCTGTGCTTCACGCATCGCCAGTTCTTGCCGTTTCTCGGTGATTTCTTTCTGTACCTTATTCTCAATTTCCATAAGCTTTGCCTCATCACGACGGAGCTGTTCGTCTTTGAGGCGCCTTGCTTCCTCCTTGGCCAGCTCCTCGGGAGTTCCGCTGGCAGTCTGGACCATGTGGATCCTAGACAGTCTAAGACGTAGTCTACCCTTGGCTCTGGCTACTTGTAATAGCTCGATAAATGTTTCCGGTCGATCGTCGTCCAAGGCTTCAAAGTCGCCAGCTGATTCAGAGAACCATTCGAGTGAGATTCGTTCTGAGATTTGAAATTCCTCGCGGAGCTATTGTGTTGTCAGCGACGATTCTTCCGAATGTATCATCAATATTGCGGTACTCACCTTGGCCGTTAGCATATCGGTCGTGAGATGTTTCAGCGGCATATCAAGTTTCCTGAGCTTCCTGTCGACACTGATTCTCAGTGCGATAGGTGTGTCCGGCAAGGTCCCATCTTCGTCGTGCTCGTAATGCTCTGAATCGGTTTCAGCCTGGTATTGAAGGGCGGTGGCCAGTGCGCTGGGATCAGAATGAAAATCTTTTTGTATGCCCGAGTCATGGAGAGTGGACTCAGAATTGGTCGCGGAGATCGCAGAAACGGGCCGTTGGATGGCAGTGAAGCCCTGGCCGAGCTCACTTTGGTTTGTTGACCATTGAGCAGTCGGCATGAGGGACCCAGTACTGTTCGATGCCATATCAGCTGATGCGATAGCCCCAGGCTGATAAAGCTGATTTACGGCTGAGTCCGAGTGAGTACTCCGATGCATGCTGGCTGCAGTCCGTAGGTGTGCGTTCTTAGCGGGAACTGGCGGACTTTCCTTCTTCCTCGCAGCTTCAGCTGCTTTCGTCGTTTGATCAGTCTGCTGCAGCCAACTGTGATTAAGACACTCCACAGCACTAGGTCTGTCACTGGCGTCTCGTCGGAGAAGAGCTTGAAGGAAAGCCCGGGCGTCGCTGGTCACCTCCTGCGTGATCAATTTCTGATCCGGCAGGCTCTTGTCCATTCCAACCGCAAATCTCAGAATGCTCTTGAAGTTCATGTTTGGCATGCCCACCAGCATTAGAAGTGCAACCATGCCGGTACCCCAGATGTCGACGGCATTTGTGTATGCCGATTTGTGGTCGGAGAGTATCACTTCGGGCGCTGCGAACTCTTGAGTGCCCATGGCCTTGCGCAATGAAGTCAGTCCTTCTTCCGTGCGCTTGCTGATGCCAAAGTCGGCAACCTTGATCCACCAGTTAGGTCCAGGGGTAGAAATCAGAATATTGCCAGGCTTCAGATCTCGGTGGGTGAAATGTCTTTCATGCATGTACTCGAGCGCTTCCAGGACCTGGATTGTGACGAGCCTTGCTTCACGCTCAATCAGATGCGTATCGAGATACTGCTGTAAATCGCCATGCGGGAGATATTCCATTGCCAGGTAGATGTGCTGCTCGGTTGCGTACCACCCGAAACATTGCACGAAATTGTCTCTGTACTTGCCGAGCGAGAAGAGGGCCAAGGCATTGAGCTCATGATGGTAGTTCTCGCTCCTCGCCTTCATCAACTTCTTGACAGCACGAACGCGGCCGACGCTGGAGCCGCTGCCGCTGATGCATTCTTCGAGGCAGACTTGGCCAAAGCCACCGTCTTTGATCCACCGCCCTCTTCGCCATTCCTGCCGGTTGCTGAGCTCCCCGTATGCTGTTCTCCGTCGATTTGAAGCCCCTTGGCGATGGATGATAGTCACCTCGGGATCATCTGCCTTTCGCTCAGCATGTAACTGAATCGCGAGCGCCACATCGGACAGGAGCGCCATGTCCAAGCAGAAGCAGAAGCAGAAGCATTAGCCATGAGCCAGAGGAGCAGTCTTTCCAAGTGATGCGCCTTCGTTCTGTCCCCACGCAGACCATCTCAGCGTGGCGCCGTGCCGCAGTCCTCGGCTCAGCAAGACACTCCTTCGGCCGCTAACTATAAGAGGATTCATCAGTATATAAGGAAGGTGAAATTCGGAAGAAGAGATTCGACTGTTTTGCGTGTAGAGCAACGCGCACAAGCAGAATTCTGGTGCAAGTCTTCAAGCCTTGAAACTAGGTCTCAAAAGACACTTCGAACAACGAACAACGAAGGGAATGGGGAAAGAAGCGAAGCAAATCCCAAGCGAGGTGGTGTGGTGTGGGAACTTGTTCACTAGCGCCAGCCTTACAGCAGCCACATGCAAACTTAGCTCCTCCTGCATGACCCCCGCAGGGTCTGGGCCGATGCGATACCCGTCATCACTTCAGCTCGCGTGAATTGAGGCAGGCCAGCACGGTAGAAGTTCTGCTGGGTTGCTGAGGTCTGTACATAATAAGATGGAAGCAGTTGGCCTTGCCCTCTCCATTGTCGCGACCATCGACATAGCTATCAAGTAAGCTGCGCCAACAACTCTACGAATCTTGTCTGCATCATACTCACAAATACTGTGCAAGCCATGGCCATGCTCTTGTTGAGATGTGTCGCTCTTTCAGAAAGGCCGATAGTGAGATTGAGCATAGGGTAGTACTGATTGAAAGCTCAATGTTTCGGACCAAGAGCCAGCTCCAGTTGATCAAGGAGATGCACAATGAACTGGATGAGGATTTCAAAACCATGCAGCTCAGATTGTACCATGCTTTCACAGCCAAGCTGAAGGATGTCATCGGCAGGCTCGAAAGACTAGTAGAGCAAAGTGTGGGCGAAGATGGTTCCCCGAGTTTCTCGGTGAAAAGAGGGAAGTACATCTTCGTCAAGCAGAATCTCGATGCTGCCATTGAAGACATGGAGCGTTGGCAAACTAGGTTCGATCCGACATGGAAACTGATCACTCTCAAGCTGGAGTCGCCATCAGTGGACATGTTGTTGAAAGGGCATGACGAGGCAATGAACAAAGATGAATCCGGCATGTCGTCTTTGAAGGCCACAAGAGCGCTCAGAGGAGTTGTAAAAGACGGCACGAGCTCGGGCGTGAGTGTATTCCTGCCAGCACGTCAGCTAGAAGGCATGGATGTGCAGCGTATACCTTTCTCGACTGCGAGTGTGTACAGTAATCCGAAGCGACGCTACCTGGTCGATAGCATTGATCTCGGTGTCGAGCACGTGGGCAAGAGCCGGACGAAAGCTTTGGCGAAGAATGTCAGAGATCTGGCTGAAAAGTTGCAGTTCGTGGAGTCTGCCAGGGTAGGCATGCTCCAGTGCAAAGGGTGGGTTGAGCATAGGCAGGAGAATGTACGTTCGCTAATGCTTCCTTCGATTTTAGGTTCGTCATGCAGGAAGAAGGCGGTTTCCGGATCATCTTCCGGCAACCACCAGGTACCGATAACGATGGACCGCCAAAGAGTCTTCGTGAGATGCTAATAAATGCCGTCGAGCATAGCCTCACCGAGCGAATGCACATTGCCAAACAGCTTGCCAGAGCCGTCAGCTACATCCATTCGTTAGGATTTGTGCACAAGAATATCAGGCCAGAGACAATCATCGGCTTCCGCACAGAGCGGCAGAAAGGTGAATTGGAGTCCGTGTTCCTGACCGGTTTCAGCCATTTTCGCGCAGAACACAATGCCACAGGCAAGCTCGGCGACGCAGCGTGGGAGAAGAATTTATATCGCCATCCAGAGCGCCAAGGTATGCATCCAGAGGAAGAATATGTGATGCAACACGACATCTACAGCCTCGGTGTTTGCCTTCTCGAGCTCGGACTGTGGACTTCGTTTGCGGAGTATGATGGGGAAGGAAAGGCAAGCAGAGGGAAGTTGCTGAGTCTCATGACCGAGGCGACTGACTCCAAGGATGCGGAGGATTCGAAGAAGATGCTTGTCGCCATGGCGAGAAGGCAGTTGCCGTCTAGAATGGGTGATCGGTATTGCAGTATTGTTGTCAACTGCCTGACCTGCCTAGACGACGATAACGAGGATTTCGCGGATGAAGCTCAATTCCACGACGAAAGTGGCATCCAGCTGGGTGTCAGATACATGGAGAAGGCGAGTCGTCCCTCCCCCAGGTGCAGGACTATTGCTGATGGTTCGCGCAGATCATGCTGGCTTTGGAAGATATTGAAATATGAGGTCGCGCCATGAAAAGGAGCGAGGAGTCGGACTTCCAAGTAATATTGGATCGTGGCTGCTTACACCCAGGCCGAAATGCATTGCGTGGCGGAAGCAAACCAATCAAACTTTGGGCTTCAAACTCTTTTCGAGACAGCACAACAACATCACGAAGACGAGGACAAGAGTTGCGTGTTCATTTCAGAGACCAATTCTCATTCCATTCTCATATCGACTATCTTATCACAGTGGTATCGGCATGCCATCCATCAATCATCAACCAAACTCCATGTCATACAGCAGGTCATGATGCGCGATCCCAGGCCACCTACTCAGTTCGGTGTCGATGCAGATGATGATCCTTCAGATGTGTCCTGTCCTTAAAATGCTCCTAGTGCTTGCCAAGGCCCAACTTCTCCTTGGTCTTGTCGAGGAAAGAACCATCACTGTGAGCATCCTTCTCGCGGCTGGCCTTGTCCTGGACCGACTGGCCGGTGGACTTGTGGGAGTCTGGGACGGCGTCACTGGGGAGAAAAGTCAGTCATGCATGGGTAAGGGAGGCCATGGTTGAGTATGCATACCGCTGGACCTTGTCGCCGGCGCCAGTGATAGCGTCGCCGACCTTGTCGGGGGTGGACTTGGAGTTGTCTGGAGTGACCTTGTCCCCGATCTCTGTAAGAAGTGGTTAGTCGGTGATGGAGGCAAGGGGAGTCAAGAAGGCGTACTGTCGGAGAGATCCTTGCGGCCGGCGTCAGTCATGTTGGCGGTGTTCGTAGGTGTGTTGTGTGGTGAGTGATAGAGGCTGATGGTTCCGTTGGTTGAGGATGTTGTTCGTGTTGTTGATGGCTGATGGGAGAAAGGAAGTGCTGAGGAAGAACCGCCGGGCGCTCTTAAGTACTGTATATGTTTGCGGCAGTCACAGTCGCAGCGCAGGGCAAGCAGCAGTCGTGGTGGCCACGGCCAGCGACCTGGGTATGTGACGAAGGTCCACGTCATGGCATGTGATGGACTTGGAATCATGGATGCTTGCTTGCTCGCTTGGAAGCAAGCAAACGAATGGCACAACAATGCTTGCTGTTGCCACACTACTGACATCAATGCATCCTCCCCCTCCACGCTGATAGTGCGCCAACATGACAACGCGATATCTTCGGCGCTGGCTCCGTGCCATCATCGTCCGCGCAGTCCTGAGCAAGCACGTAAGGAGCTTGGCCCAAGCTGGAAGTTGGTGTCATAGCACGGCCGGGTGATGTTGTGCTGAAGACGATCGCCGCAAACTTCAAGGCACTGCAGCAGCTGTGAGAGTGGGCTGGAGGGGCAGAGAAGATCTGACATCATCGAGCTGGACGATAGGTTGTGTTGCAATCATCGTGAAGAGCCAGTAGAGCGGAAAGAATAGAACATACCGCAAAACAACCATACTCTGCTTCGTGCCTGCACAAGTGCAGACGCCGTCAAAGTTAAAAGTGAGTATCGAAGCTGAGCTCAAGGCCCTGCTGTCCATCGTCCAGCCGTGCTTCTGCGTCTCCGATTTACACCCACTGTACACTGTCAGAAAGAGCATTGCCTGGCAAACTCCCTGCTACTGCAAGCGCCAGTCCTCGCACAATGTCAACAACATCAGAAGACACCCAACGCTACAAACTCGTCTTCTTCACCCCACCCGCCGACCTCCCGAAAATCAAAGAGGCAATCTTTGCGGCTGGAGCAGGTCAATACGGGCCCAAATATAGCGAATGCTGCTTCACAACACCAGGAATCGGACAATTCCGGCCTTCAGCGTCAGCAAACCCTCATATTGGGAAGCCTGGCGAGGTGGAAGAGGTGGGCGAAGCAAGATGTGAGACGTTGTGTGTAGGGAGGGAAGTGACCCAAGCTGTAGTGGAGGCGTTGAAGAAGGCACATCCGTATGAAGAGGTGGCATATGAAGTTTACAAGATCGAGAACTTCTGACCGAAGAGCCTGTGTGACTCCAAGCACGAGAAGCCGTGATGGCATACGGGAAGGGCAGTCTCAATGCTGAATTTGCAGGCTCTCCGGAACGATCGCAGCTCTGCACAAGGCAATGAAAGTTGGCTCGTGCGGGCAAAGGGAGATGCTTGCTGATGGACGCTTACAGCGTATCTAGGTCGACGTGACCTTTCTCAAATGCCCTTCCAGCGCCTCGCTGTTGAAGAAGCCGCCTGGCCATCTCTACTTCAGTGCCTTTTCCTTGATGTCCTGCTGATCTACCCAATCTCTCCACTCTTTCCATTCGGCATAAGCCAATCCTGCTGGCTTTCCTTCGTACGTGACCAACTCTCCTCTACCATCGCGCCAAACTTTCTGCCACTGTGAGCTGCTGCCACTCCAGCCCGCCTTTCTCATCAGACTGATCAAAGTCTCGTCCTTCGTCCAACCTTGCTCTTTCGCGACATCGGGCAAATATGTGGCACCATATCGCCGACCGTGGTGCGTGAACGAGATGCGTAGACCGTGCTTGCCGAGTTCCCAGTCTAGGGGATCTTTACTCGGCGAGGAGAAGTTGGTAAGGAGGGTGACATGGTTGGAGAGAGAGGGAAGTAGAGATGAGGGGATAGGTTGGAAGCGTACGTCTTCGAAGGCACTGTTGTCACTCGTATCAGCACAATGGAGTCTACGGGCGTGGGAACGCGTGCACATACCTCGTCAGCGCATAACTTCTCAAGCCATGATCCAGCTCTTGGGGCTCGAATGTGCCAATACAACCCCTCAGACTCTTGTGCCCACTCCTGCTCAGGGTATTCCACGTCACAAATAAGGGATGCTCAGCCTCGGAATTTCCACGCCGCCTGATGGACGAGAACAGACTCGATCGCGAACTCATACTCGAAGCCGGCGTCGCCGTTCCAGAACTCGGCTCCGTCTTACTCTTATTTGAACTCCCACTCGATGGCAAGCTGGAACTACTGCTCGCCGCACTCTGCGCGGGCTCGCGATTCAAAAGCCTACTGATAGCTGCTGGTTTGGCCGAAGCAGCCTCTACGCCATTTATGCCCTCCTCGTCATCTTCCTCCACATCGCTGCCATCTTCCAACGACTTCTCGCTGCTCGCGTGATACCGGTCCCAGAGGTCTTCGACTTGTGGCAGAGAAAGTGGTTGGCGGCGGTCAAAGCTGGCAGCGAGGATTTCGAAGCAGTAAGCGCAGTGCGCTTGCGTTGCCATTGGACTGCTATTCTACGACCTCGCCGTCGCTTTGTGCTTTGTATACGTGTACAAGCAGGTCTTTGAGTTGTCTTCGGAGCTGCGCGTGACCAGGATTGCTTGGTTGGAGTCTGCGGGCGGGTTCGGGACGCTGCTGGTTGCTCAGGTGCGGGACGTTCTGAGGTCAGCAATGATGGAGATCCTGAGGGAGGAGTGAGAGGCGGCGGCAACGCGATTGATCAGGCTGGCAGGACGGATTGAGCGAGTCGGGGTCGAGGCAGCATGATCTGCTCGCAAGCGCCATGACGCCCCTCTTCCCTGCCACCCCGTCGCCGTCGTATATGCAGGTGTCGTGCTCCTGCGCCGAACAAGGTTGCGGCGTGGAGAAGTCTAAATTTGGTATATCATTGCGAGCTTCACGTCGAGGATATGAACAACGTCACCTGCAGGTTCTGTAATTTGGGGGGAGATTCAACGCAGGAATTCATTTTCCGACGACACCTTTTGATGGACGGAATATGATTGATGTCCAGTAGTGTTGCTGCTTCCACCTCGGCATACAAGAGCAACATTCTACGGTCATCGAGAAGAGAAGGCTTTCTTAGCATGCCGTTGCTCATGCAATACCGCATCCGCCAAGACACGTATATCTACCTCGGACGAGATGCGGCTTGGTCGAGTACATCAAGATTTCATTGGACTCCATTGCGTCTGCAAGAGCATACTGCAAAGGAAGATTCCATATGCTCAAGCAACATTACGACAAGTCGTCACATCTCGACATTCTCATAGTCTTGGCAACGCGTGTGGGACTCACCTGTTCAGAATTCCCGAGAGCCAGTCGCCGAGTGCCCAGCGTTGCATCGAGCCAGTACATTTATTAACCACAAGACGCCGATGGTCGCGACTTCTCCTTCCCACCGGACCTCATCCCCTCTTCATCGTCCAGCCTACGTGGCTTCATACAGCCTCGACAAGACAATCTTGCAAAATGTAAGCCCTGATCCTGATGAGATACCGCTGTGTTCGATGTTCAGCTTCCACCAAGTTCAGCAGGGTCGAAAGACTCTGGAGACATTCCGAAGCCTGATAGCTGCATGAGGCTCTACGAATCCATCAGAACCCCGGACATCCACGCTTCAACTCTCGGCTGCTTATTGCTGCGTGGACTACTGTGGAAGTAGAGCGTTTCCGCACCACGGCTGGGATTGTGGAGATGTATCCGTTCCATGCGCACATCAATCACCACCTTCCTTGCTCTTCGGCCCTCAGCATTGGATCTGCACTCGTCATTATTGTTGGACTGGAGTAGTGAAGCGACACTGGATATTTCAACAGGCTTGCATCTCTTCCCTGGAGACGCAAACCCGTGGCCCCGCGGCTGCAGCAGAGCAGACACATCGACGTGCATGATCAGGAACTGCCGACTCTGCCATATGCAAGGGTCATCATGGAAAGTGCTCATCAAGAGAACGGGAATGGCCTCTGATCGGCCATGAACGAAACTACAGTGTCTGCGAGGGCGATTCAGTCTCACGTGCTGTCACGACCACGCTCGAAGCAGTGTCTACATTCACCAGGGTCCTTCAAATTGACAATAATGCATCCGAAAGCACACCCGATATTGACGCCAGGGGACGATTTACCGCGTTGCGAAGCCGAGCACCATGCATTCAGACCTCACAGGCCTTCCCACCAAAGCCTAATAAAGGCGCAATCAACTTGAGCCGACCGGAACGGAATCTCTATCAAGTTCCATGGCAGCAACGAGTTTGCGGTCCGATGAAGCAGTAAATCGCGTCTGTTCCCAAAATTGAGAAAGTATCCACCTAGTCACCCACATCGCGCTAAAAGGGTAAATCAAAGAGTTCGTCGAGAGCCATGCAATGTCCTTTCTTGGCAGTACATACCGGAGGCTCGGCACCTTTTGTAGCCTTGTTACCCGGGGTCTTGATGGTGCCCATTCTGGGTTAACACGTGACGCGTCCTGCATGAGGTCGCTTTCGCGATACATACCGAAAAGAGCTACGGCGCCATAAGGGGACACTTTGACTAATAATAAGGAGACGCACTACAAGAGCTTGATGGTCTCCCCAGCCTGATCCAGCCACTCAGGTGCCAGTCTCTGCAACTGCCGTTCATGTCTACATACAGCGTCTTACCACATCGGAGTGAAAGTGACTAGGGTCGGACCGCTGAATAACAAGTTTCTATTCGCTATAATCCATGAGGAGCAAGGGTTTGGGGAATACCCACTTTCACTCCGATGTGATCAGACGCTGTACAATGAGGAACGCAACTTACTAATCGCATGTGAGAGGGTCTGAGCTACGCACAACCAAGTATTACTAACGAACTCTTTTCACCTTGCTGTATACAGATCCATCCAGGGTTGTTGCAAAGTAGGCTTGGGGATCTCCTCGAACCCGAGAGTCTAGGGCGCACGGAGTGCCGGTGTCCGTGGCTTCATGAAATCCATAAGCCGCGATATCAAGCCTTTGCCAAGCACTTTGCCAATGCTGTTCCGCGCTGGCGTGGGTCGGTCCTTATTCTCGAACTGGATCCGCCGGATTGAGACACTGCTGCGTATGGTCGTAGCATCGTGAGGAGTCCCATCGGCCGCTCGCCATTGGCGAGTCGCAGCCTGCTCCTCTTGCAGACAAATTCCGGATGCGTAGCCAGCCCCGTGTTGGTACCCCGAATTTGGTACCCCGGAACTTCCATATCATGAGGCCATACTCTCGATCCAGATAGGGAAGTCGTGAAGACGAATGGACAAAACCTCGGCTTTCCCTGCCTAAAACATCGAGTACTCGAGTTCAAGACTTCATCAAAGTATCTTCGCCGGATCCTGACTATGACCAGCATTCAGTCGCCGACCACGCGGATGTCAGGCTGTGTCCTGGCCGTCTCGCGCAATTGCACCCTCAGGCCTTATAAACATAGATCACCAACATGAGTGACTTCGCCGCCTCTAGGTTCTCGCTCGCCTAAGACGGCCTTATTTACCTGTTAGGAGCCGTGCTCCAGATCTAGCAAGGCTCCATTCTGCGAATACCCCTGCACCTCCGAGCTTACTTTCAATGTGCACCTCTTTCAAGAAGCGAATAGTAGCGTAACGTTACGCCGGTAGATTGGGCCTCCGAATGACTCAATATAGTTTTGCATCCAAGGAGGACAGAACTCATCCGGTCCGCCTACGTATTTCTTAGCACCAACAATTTCCGTTCAGCCTACACGAATCGAAGACTAAAAAGTGCATAATTCTATTCGGAAGAGGGCATTCTGTTATATCTGTTTCTTTGCTAAAATCGCCATATCCGTGTGGCGCGTTCTTCAAAAATCCAGGTCGAAGGACTAAGAGAAATTCAGTCACTTCGCTAGGAAGAACACGAGTCATGTGTTTGGGTGGATCCACTCTGTCCTCCTCACGGTTTTGCATATAAGGAGGACAGAACTTATCCGGTCATGCCTGCGTATATTTGATCCCTAAGAAACTCTGGTGGGGACATCTTGAATTCTGAGGCCATTTCTTTATCCACCTACGCCCTTTATTATAGAGTGGATATTCTAGTCCGAAAGAGGGCATTCTATTGCCTCTATTTCTTTACTAAAATCGCTATATCTATGTGTCGCGTTGTCTCAAAAATCCAGCTCGAAGGACTTAGAGAAATTCAGCTTTACTTAGGATGACTAACACACTGGTAGGGGGAGAGTGGATCCGATCTGTCCTCCTTATATGCATAACCCTCCTCACATGCATAATCCTCGCGGGCTATTCCACAGGGTATAGAGGATACCACCGAAACTTTGAAAGAGGGTGTAGGGGTGAGCTCGTCAGTGATGAGAGGTTGGGCCCGACCCGCCCGAAATTATACAGTCTAATATCAACAGGATAGGAAATTAGCAGTGCAGGTTTGCGAGGGACAGTGATGAGGACTCCTGATGAGAGTCCTGAACGAGACACAAACTATGTTTCCCGGAAAGACTCAATCACAGTCGTCTTCCGAAGCAAACGACTGCTGTCACTATGTCGGACCTGGGACTTGGGTCACTTGGTGACCTTGGGCTCGGCAAATCCCTTGGCGTACTGGGGGATGGGCTGCAAGGAGTCAAGCCCGTCGTGGAAGACGTAACTGTGAGTCTTGGGGGTGCAGTGGGTGACCTAGGCGGCCTCATACCTCCCAACGGCCCTTTCCAGGAATGCATTGTCACCGCATTTGGCAGAGACACGACTCGATATGCATTCCCCCAGGACTTGCTGTTTGGCTTGACAGATCAACGGCCATACAACCTGGACGCGGCATGGACACCTGCTGCGATTGTGTATCCGCACAGTGCGATCGAAATATCCACTTCGGTGTCCTGCGCGTATGAGTATGGTGTTGCGGTCCAGGCGAGAAGTGGCGGCCACAGCTATCGTGGGTTTGGTATGATTGTGCATCGCAGCCTGGGGAAGAAAGGATTGTACTGATTCGTTCGTCTTCAGGACTTGGAGGACAAGATGGCTCTCTCGTTGTCGACCTCAGATTTCTCAAGGACTTTTCATACAACTCGGCCACTCAACAAGTCACCTTCGGATCTGGCAGTCTACTCATGGATCTGGATCGACAGTTAGCAGCGATAGATCGAGTCATGGCGTATGGTGTTGTTGGCGATATAGGCACAGGAGGACATCTTGCCATAGGAGGACTTGGGCCGCTATCACGACTCCTTGGGCTTGCAGCTGACCAGGTTGTCTCTATGCAATGCGTGCTCGGAGACGGCCGCATCGTTACGGCTTCGAATTCGGAGAATCCAGATCTCTTTTTCGCCATGAAAGGGGCAGGCTGGTCTTTCGCGATAGCCACGCAATTCACCATGCAGACCTCTCCAGCGCCAAGCACTGTCACAAGCTACCAATTCAACATCACCGCCGGCACTATCGGAGGCCTCGCAGATTCATTCAAGGCGTGGCAAAAACTCGTCGCGGATCCGGACCTGTCTCGCTACTTTGCCTCCACGTTCGTTCTAACGGTAGACCTCGCCATCTACTCGGGCACTTTCTTCGGAGATGAGGAAACTTTCAACCGGCTCAATCTTGGTCTTTCGCTCTTTGACGGCATCATTGGCATTTCAATCGTAAGTCGGGTGGTGACAACCGTCATTCACGAAGTCATCGACATTGTGCAAGATCTTTTCGGCCAGATCCCTCAACACTTCTACTCCAAGAGTCTGAAATACACTCGCAACACGCTACTCTCTGACTCTGCCGTCGATACTTTATTCCAGTACATCGACCAGACCCCGAAAGGAGTGTTGATCTGGTTCATCGTCTGGGATCTCAATGGCGGGGCAATCGCCGACATTCGACAAGATGCCACCGCATACTGGAATCGAGATGCACTTTTTTTCCAACAGAGCTACGTGTCAGACCCCCTTCTCCCAATCTCTCCGACATCCTACGATTTCTTGAACGGCATCAACGCACTCGCGAAACAACTCAGGCCTGGCAGCGACGACAGTGCTTATCCGGGATATGTCGATCATCTTTTGCCTGACCCTTTGACCGCGTACTGGGGTGGTAATGTGCCTCGATTGAAGCAAATCAAAGGAAAATATGACCCGGCAAACACTTTTAGGAATCCGCAAAGTATTCCTTCGCCTTATGGGGGTCGTCAAAGGCATAATAAGCTTCAGTGAGGGACCGGCTTGGACTCTCCTCGAGCACGTATCCACAGTCGTGGTAGGGAGCATCCAAACTTTGCACGCAATCCTCTGGAAGTGAGTCATCTCAAGGGCATGAACGCGGACTCAGCAACTGCGCAATCACATGCAGGCTCAGTCTGGAGGAACCAGGAATTGCGATCGCATTCAATGCCACATCAGGCCTCTTTAGTGGCTATAGGAGGAGGATTTTGGCGAATCTCGGCGGACAGCTTCACCTGCTTCGAACATGAGAACAGTAAAAACACACTGGATGAGAGAATCTACAGTCGTAGTACACTAAAACAGCAAAGTCGCAGTTCAATTCATCATCCTGAGTAATCGAACATAATTCATGCGCAATTTGTGTTCATTGGATGAATCAGCTTTGCCTCTTAAATTCATCTGTCACCATATCCTACCCTCGTCGTTCTTCATAACAAGGTGGAGCATCACATGTATCTCATTCTCTCTCCCAACAACAAATGTAGCCTTGTCCTCGTAACTCCCTCATCGCAAACATGGACAACCTCGCACATCAACATCATCCAAGGACTACAGTACAGTACAGTACATAGTTCCCATGTACAGAACAAGCCAAGACAATCTAGATCGCATCGGATCGCATTCAAGTTGCATTATTGCATCATACAGTAAGTACGTCTCTCTCTCTCTCTCTTATTACCCGTTCAAGTACAACCCTTGTCTACCGAACTCGTGAACCGAACACTGCAACAGACGGGATTTGTTGGGGGGGGGGGGTTGCTAATAAGCACGGAACTGCGCAAAGCCGCGATGCCGTAGCGTAAGCCGGACGAAAAGAATCGCGTGATTCTGGCGCGGAAATGTTGCCGTGAGTGGGCAGAGGTTGGGTAGAATAGATTGCAAAGTGTCATCAGAGAGAAACGAGGTTGTACGAATGCGAAGGAATTCAGGCACAAAGAATTATCATCGTATCGCTCATGCAAAAGATGTTTCTCGGTTCAAGCTTCCTCCTGATGATGATCGCGATCACCCGCTCCCCAATCAAGAAAGAGAAGTAGTAGTGAGTGTGTGTACAGGATACAGTAACACGACACGACGGCGGGCTTTGATCTTGGTCTTGGTCTTCACTAGCGCTTCATTAGAAAAAAAGACATTTGTTTTTCTTTCCACGCCGGCTTCAACTCTGAATACGTGAAAAGCTACCAAATCGAACCCGGTGTTTACCATTGCCATCGAGACCTACGGCTTTCTTCCCGTAGCTTCTTCCGAGATCGGTAGAACTATCGCTGCAGGGGAAACTCGCGCTGCGGAAGTTTGGAGTGGGGAGGGAAAGAAAATCTGAACTGGACTTCCTGGTGGTCAGCCCAATAGCGATGCACACATATCAAAGCAGCAACCGGCGAGTTCCTGCCGCACTTCTCCAACAATGTCACTACTCCATCGGTTCCAGTCTAGACTCCGCGCGGCTTTCTACAGTAGTCTCGTCTAGTCATCACATCACGCAAGAAAGACCGGTCCAACCATGCAATACCGATTCAAAATTTCGGCCGCGGGAAAGTTCTTACCATAACGTCATTATTTATTAGCAAGCAACACGCTCACCTGTCACTCCTGCGCAAACTATGGAGATTCCTTACGTCCGCAGGGTATTCAATCCTCAGTCAATCAGTCGATTCATTCGGGGTAGAAATCTTTTCCGATCCGATCTGACACATATGCTGATGAGACTGTCACTGATGAGATGAACCTAGACTCTTTCTTCTTCTCGTAGCTTGACGCAACGGCACTACTAATGCGATGCAAAGAACATTCCACGGCAGCCAATTGACTCCGCGGCTAGTGCTTCCATCCAAGCCCATGTACCTGGGGATCATCATAGGCGATCGCTGGTTGTCGAAGTCTAATAAAGAAGAAGTGCTGTCGATAATAATCGCTCGAAAGTGATATTGACAGTCCAAGCTGTGAAGGTGGAAAAATTTTCAAGATCCACAAATCGGCATTCCAAATAATTTGGTGCTACAAAGCCAAAGCCATTGACATCGAGGGTGGATCTGTGACTTGTACTATACACTGGGCGGGCGTTTTTCTTTTTGAGTGGCGTAGACCCAATGCTGCGAAGTGTCATCACAAAAACCACTCTCTTCTGTAGGTCCAATTAATAGCCGGTGTGGGCACTCTCGCACGTGGCTTGCGTTCAGGAGTCCGCCGTAGTCATCAGCAAGGTTTGCGAGGAGAACTTCCCGAATCCTTCTAGCGAGAGCGGTCCCAGAGTGGTATGGGTGAGAAATAATGGTCGCTCGGTCATCCGAGTGCCAGAATTGGCCTTGTGGTATGCGTGCGGCACAATAATACTGCACGCGAACGGTACTTGTCAGCGGTATCGATGACTTTGCGCTATTATTGACCGCCTGCCTCATCATATCCCAACGTTCCTGCAACAACAAAATGGTCAGCGATCATTTGTGATCAACCACTACCAAAGTCGGAGATGGCTCGCTGGCCGAATTCGGCTTGCCGAAAGCCGAGTTGAGTTTTGGTGGCCGCGGGCGTGATGTTGTGATTTGGGAAATCATCATGTGAAAACATTTTCCTGTTGCGGCTTGGAACACTGCTAGTGCTGAAAATGATTACAATGATAAGGGAAAGCTGAGCAGGATGGAGCAAGTTCCCACGCGGGTTCATCAGAAATGTGCATTCGCTTTGTCAAGCTCTGGTAGGGCTGAGACGGCATGCTACTCGGTCCAGGCACGATACACAGTCCTGCTGCCCCAAATCTGACCTTTCTTTAGAACGACCTGCTGCCTCCATTGGTCATTGTTGATGGCGTTGACGTATCGGCTCGCCTCGATGCAGAGACCGCTTCGGGGTCCTCTTGCTGGCTGACCGTCCTTCGCGGGCACGTCAATAAACCTGAGATAGTACCCCGAGTCAGCAACTGTCTCAAAACAATGGTATGCATTTGCTTACCGCCCAGCGTAGAATTGGAATGCAGGCTCTGTGCTAAGCGCTTCAAGATGAATCTTCGTACTGGGATGATAAAGCTCAATAAGCTTCCTCATTGGCTGACTCCTTGTGTCAAGAGGAATGCTTGAAGGATCCGGATTTACAACGAAGCAGTGGTCCGGGTCGGGCCTCTCAGCGCCCAGGACGAATTCCTCGTTCGCGTTGAATTCAGGATATGGTTCGATCGTACCAGTAGGTATGGCGTTTTCGTCCACCGGCAGATGCAGATTGGAGGGTACGATTACCTTTGTGCCCTCGATAGTGGGCCCATCAGATATGTTAAAGTAGCTGCAGGATCTCTGTCAGCACAAGGATCTCTGACAGCGCATATGGCTTCGGAAGCTTACCTGTGATTCGTCAAGCTCACAACGGTTTCAGCAACCTCGTCGCCAACCAGCTCTGCTTCATACTCAATCTCAAGGCTGGTTTTCTCCTTGCCATCGTCATGTTCGAGGGTCGGAGTATACCACATCCTCATCTGCACCGTCCCAGGAAAACCCTCTTCACCGTCCTTGCTCAGATACTTGAACATGACAGCATCTCGCCCCTTGCGATTGGTCGGTGTAGGACCTTCAAACTCCTGCTTGTCCCAACCATTTGCGCCACCATGTAAAGTGTTTGGGCCATTGTTGGCTGCCAACTCATAGCTCTTGCCGTTCAGATCGTTGATCTTCGCGTTCGATATCCGATTTGCTACTCTTCCAATGTTGGCTCCAAAGAAAGGGTTCTTCTCTTTGTATGACGCAGCGGATGGAAACCCGAGTGTAATGTTGCGCCCGCCTACTCGAAATTCTTGGATAATGCCGCCTTGGGGCAGAAAGGTGAATGCATCAGATGGCTGTGAAGACGCCATTCTTGCGAGACCAAACTCGGGGCTGGATTGGGGTTACCTTGCGCACGGCGCGTAGAATGTTTCCAAAATCTTGTGGAAAAGCATCAAACTGTCGAGATGATGAGCTCCAGTGTCCATCTCCATTATTATTGTGGAGCCGTGGCCCACAAGCAGAGGGGCATCTTAGCCTAATTTCAACCTCATGTAGTACTGACTTCCTCACGGAACAACTGACTGACCGACAAACTATGGTGTGTCCTTGTTGTCGAGGACAGGAGGTTTACAACACTTCTAATTTGGTAGCCAACTCCGAGAAGTGAGTGGTGAGGAAAGAAAACGAAACGTGGATCTTTTTTGAACCTCTCCGGGTCACGCACAGACCGTAGCCGTTCCTGACTCAAACCTTCCTCCGGCGATTGCCTTCAAGGTTCCATCAAACATATTCATTACTGTGGTACGGTCAAGACGCCAATCGAGATTGCAGATTAGCGACAACAATTATTATTATTATTAACGCATTACTACTAAGTCGTTGAGAGACTCGTTGAGAATTCATTCTTCTCCTCTCTGCGCACCACAATGTGAAACGCCGTCTAAAGCTTCGGCGACCGTACGTCTCCAGGGTTGAGACGGCCATACCATTTCCTGGAGAAGGTGGCAAAACAGAATCTCAGTTGAAAATTTATTACAAGTGTTTCGAATCAGAAGCGTGAGAGAGATGTTGTCCATGCAGGTGGATGGAGAACTCAGTGATGAGCTAACTCTTAGTTGTGCTGCACACTCATGACAGCTAATTACGAGCAGGTATTTGTGATCGTGCTCAAAGTGAAGCTTTCCCGAATTGTCTCCTGTTCGTGGTACCATACAAAGCAGCCTGGCTGGGCAATTCGAAGCCGACTCCCATGTCTATGGACAACCAAGGCGGTGGGATGTCCCGTTGTCCACGCTAAATCGCAGCAATAAAGAAGCGACACACTCGTTAATAAGTAGTCCTTGGCAAGTCGCCGACCCAGACCATTTTGACGCAAAGCCATCGCCGATTATGCTATATCATGGCGGGTATCTAAATTATCGGATCCAAACTCAACCGGTCGAACGCATAAAGAGGGGAACAAAGAATGTGTTGCCCAATCGTCATGTCATGACCTGAATGTACTGCTGGAACTCGAGGTCCATGGAATCGGCTTGAAATCCTGGAAAGGCTCCGTCTTGCAGTCTAGGTCCATCTCCGAAGCCGTTCGACATGTGTATAGGTGGGTAAGACGTGAACGCCGCCATGTTTGCCTCGTATGGTGCGGAAGTGGGCTCCCATGGAAGACCATTGAGATTGTGGAGTTTCGAGTCGATCTCTGGTGTTTGAATGGCGAAGTCAGGTCGCATCGCATAGCTGGCCGTGGTGTCTGGGTATGCCCATTCTGCTTGGTAGAGCTGGGGATCATTGGCAAGTGGTGAGGCTTGTTGAAGAGGCGATGGCTGAGCTGCTGACGAGTAGGATAATCTGTGAGGTGGACGAGCCGGAGTGTGTGCTGGAGGGGATGATGGCGCGCTGCCGAACGCAAAGTTCTCTTTGAACACTGCGGGCGCAGGCTTGGAAAGAGTGGGCGTGCTATGCGATTGCGAGCGGGCGTGACTGTGTTGGCTGTGTTCCGAGTCCGAGCTGAATGATTCTCGTCGCTGCTGAGTGTAGCCAGCGCCATCTGCCAATAGCCGCGATTGCAACTTGGTGCAGTCCTCCTCAAATGTCTCCAGCTCACCACTACCGTCGTGCCTTGCCTCGAGTAGGTCCAAGGCAGAAAGAATATCGTGGGTCAAGGGATTGCCGTTCGACTCTGCAAGTGGTGATCCTTTCCAGGCGTTTGCTTCGACTAATCGCTTGTACATTTCCTGGAGACCAGATACCAGCTGGCCTTGTTGTTGTTCGAGCATCTCCACATATCCCTTCGGATAGACCTTGTCGTGAGACTTTTTCCGTTCGCTGACAATGATCAGCTCAAGCCGATTGATCGATCGGTCCATCACTTACCCAAAGACACAGATAGCATTGTCAGACTTGCATCGAGTGCAAGGGTGAGCGCCATCACATTTGCTCTTCTTCAATCGACATCGATCGCAGGCCTTGCATACTCGCTTTCTGATGCTGTCGGATGTCGAGTCTTGAGATGATGTCCGTTGTGGCGTGGCCATCTTGTTGACTGGGGAGTGCGCCAACGATGGGGTCATCGTATGGCTGTGATATGGAACGGTGGTATTGTTTAGACACTGAAGCTGGCTGCGGTGAGCCATGTGGACCAACTCTTAAATACGTGTCGTGAGGGGAAGACAGCAGCTAGTAGAGAGATGGTTCATCGAGGTGGAGTGGAGCCAGTAGTGTGATGAGGCAGCAGCAGAGGTGTTTACAAAAGGCGTATGAGCATTGGGAGGCGGATGGTGGATCTTTCATATAGCTACCACAGCAGTTGCGCAGTGAACCACGGAGCGCCAGAGCGCTGGAACCCCCGTCACGCTGGCGCCGATGGGTAATCCTGGGATGCTCAGCCCGCAATGGTGCACGCTGCACAGCACTCAGCATCAGCACACGGAAGCCATCTGTAATCGTGCCGTCGACGACACTTGCGACGCATGGGCAACCCTACCCTCGCCGCCATGCATCTAAGAAACTCTGTTTGTGAACAGGGCGCATGGACCACCGCGCTGTGCTGTGCGGGCAGCGGCGCTGAGTCTGACGAGTAGTAGTGAAGTCGTGGTGAGGAAGGAGGCAGGAGGCAGAGAGCAGGATCTGCCGAGCGAGCGACCGGGCTCGGCTGAAGCACAGCGTCCGCACTGAATTTCTATCCGTCCGCCGATGATTATGTGATGCCCGCATAACCGCTTTGGTTAACGACGCGGGGGGCGCATGTGAGGCCTCAGGCTCCACGCCACCGCCTCGCCCACCGACCGTGGCATATTGTTGGCCGAGACTTGGCCTCTTGGACTGCTGACGCTGCGTGGACGGGGCGCAGGCAACACGAGCGTGATTCGTGCTGGAGCGGAGGGTGATGGTGATGCTATTCACCAAGCATGCGGCATGCCACCTCAGACCTGCTGGGCCGCCGTACTCGAGTGTGCGTCTCCTTCTCGCCTCGGCCGGCGGAAGTTCCCAGCCTCATCAAGGCTCGTTCGCCAGGGCAGACGTGTCTCATTTCTTGCTGCCCTGCCCTGCCCTGCCCTTCCCTGCCCTGCCAGTCCATTTCCCGTTTGGAGCAGCACCACAGGCAGCTCACCGCGTCACGCGAGCCCCTGGTCGAGCTCGGATGGGCAATGCTTCCACCACCGCACGCCCGTCGCACACTCACTTAGCCTGATGATCAGCTTTATTGCACGAATACTCCATCTACACGCCCTGCACCCTCCTCCTAAATAGGCACTTCCGCGGACTCGGATTGCTCCACGTCCGTAGAGTGCACTGAAGACTTGTTATGACGCTATGACGGCAGTGAGCGCTGCTCAAACGGCATGGTCCTCATCATTCGACCAAGGAAGATTCCTCATCACGGCCCGACTTCAATGCAGAGTCCGAGCGGCTGAATCCATACCACATACCCGCCTCCGTGTCGACCACTTCTTCCTCGCACGAATACCACATTTGTTGCTTTGCTCTCGACAGGCCAGACAGATTGGGACGGCCCGCGGTAGCTCATTCCTGATCCGGCACCAAATGAGCCGGCAGAAGATGTCCCTTCCGTCCACAGCTTGACTACTGACTGTCATCATCAGCAGCAGCCTGGATGTGTCATTCATTATGCCGAAAGTCTAAATTCGCAACCCAGCAATCATTGGTCTGCTAATGCTCAGCGTGCACTATGAAGTCGTTGGATGTGTTGAGCCCCCAGCACTGAGACTGCTGCTGGAGTCCTGTCGCAAGAACCGGCCGATGTTTCTCCATCTCCTCATTCTGGAAGTGTGGACTCACCATAACAAAGATGGCTACAGGAGACACCATCCTGCTGCAGCACTTCCTTCGCGATGCAGCCACTGTTGTCCCGACCGACAACCTACACGACCTTGGGTGTGAAGCAGTCACGGAGCTCGAGATAGATCTGGCAGCATCACCGCATTACGATCATTTCGGAACGCGAATGGATCACAAGTTCACTGCTGGCAGAATTTCCTCTCATCTTCGGTTGGCAGATACGACGTACGAAAGTTGAATGAAGTCACAGTCGGACCAGCATGGCATGACCGAATGGCCTTACAGACCTTTCCTTTGGACAGTCCAGCGAAGATCATGTCAAACCGAGTATCTGAATTCCACTAGCCCAATATATGCCCAAATGCGACGGCCTGTCCTCAGCGCAGCCAACAGGAGCGAAATCGAAACGCAGCCATCTTTGTTGTGATACTGCGACACTCTTTTATTACTCGAGCCACCCATAGCGTCTTGCACGAAACGAGGAGAAATGGCTAATGTGCGGTGACCTGATCTCAGGTCTTGTGGGCCAATGCAGATCATGTCTCGTGCACAGAGTTTCTGATGTCGAATGCCATAGCTATCGCAGCTCACAGTCCGAATGTAAGCACCCGAAGAATCGCATGGCTTCTTATATGTGGAACAAACGGCTTCTATTGCCGACAGATCATGAGATTCTGGGCCTCTGGCCCGAGAGGGGACTCGAGCATTCCGCTATACCATGCTTTCCGAACGAAGTCAATCTTGAATGACCGCTGTTCTGCACAAGGAGTAATTTAGGTAACCTTACCGCGCCTGGGAGACCTCAGGCCTCAATTGCGTTTGCGCAACTCTATATTTTCAACCACGAGAGTACTCAGCAGCACTGTCAGGTTGTGTCAGCACATGAAGAGCACGGAAATAAAATCAAGTGCGCTGCTCGTTTGAAATGCTTGTCTGGTCCTCTCGAGGCCAACGAAACCGATTAAGCTCGAGTGCATTTACGAATTAGGACATTCACCAGTGCATACAGCCTCCGCAATATCGACATCACAACACGCTCTCGGCTCTTCATTCCTCTCGCAATACGAACTCGATTTGACGTGTCCACGTCCTCGCATGTCCATTCTGGCATCATCACGTTGGGTCCGGGACCAGGAGTTCACCGCCCTGTCACTGCCCACTCCATATTTATGAAACTCACAGGCCCTCTCCCGATCGCTCGGTTCTGTCACCTTATCAGCTCGACCAACGAGCTGCACCAGTGGCTGGGTACCCTTCGCATTGGAGCCTGCTCGTACGCATCGGAGACCAGCTTCAGGCTGGTCTCAAGCCTGGTGAAACACGTGTCCCCAAGGTCAAGTTGCGTCTCATCTTCGAGGACCCAGTCAACTTGGCACCGAAGTGCCAGTAACTTCGCAGAGTCTAATTGCCATTCTCAACTCTATTGCTGCTATTCTGAACCCGTTTCCGTGCAATTTCCCAACCTCGTTTCTGCAAGTGCAGCGTTTCCTGACCTTGAAGGCAAGTTGCATTGATGTCGAAGCGGCGTCACGCCATCAGTCGCTGTTCACACCGTGCTCTATCAGCATCGATGGAGCGAAGGCTCAAGAGGGTGATGACCTGCGCGAATAGAGGCCTGTCGCCATTATTCCGTTGGGGGTGACGCGAAAGCATGCTCCCCGAGCCGTGCTCGACTCTTTCCAGCATTGGACCAGCATGCGACAAGGCTTCATTGGTACCCGGACGTGGTAGACATCGGGCAGCCTGACCACGCTTGGCGGCAATTGCCGGGATGCAGTTGGCCTTGTCCCAGCAGTTGGCAAAGACACCTGGCATGGTCACCGCTCACCTGAGTCACGTCTTCACCCAAGTGAGATCACCCGTGACCACCACGAATCGTACACTTTCTACCCCGGAGTGAGATTGGCTGTTCAAATCCAGACCCTGAGCCCAGAAGAAATACACGTTAAAGCTGCAATTCAACACCAGGCTGATGTCACTTCTCTTCCCCCGCGCGCCTGCTGTGCAGAGCATCGATGAAGTTGACGAAGTGGTACATACTGTGGCCTCGAAGTCGGTGCTAGATTGAAAACGATCGCCCAACTGCCGTGCGGCGTGCGCGTGCGCCGGGCTTGCAAGGATTTCGCACGCAAGCGGGCTGGGCGTGCATACCCCAGCAACTGCCAACCGTCCCTTCGAACCTTAAATTCAACGTTCCCAGCCCGGTCCCTTTTTTCAACACAGCCAGCCAGCCAGCCAACCATAGCACCAAACATACGCCAAGGCAGTGCAATTTTTGTCGCTACAACGAGACCAGAATACTCGCATACGACCCATGATACGTGGCTTCTCATTTACGAGCGTCTCTATGCCTTGGCAGTCAAGTTCAGACGCTGCACGACTGCTCCCAGATCGAGGAGACTTTGCATTCGGCTTTGCGCTTCCAGATCTCCGACATGCATATGCAATTCACCTCAATCCCAAGGCATGTGAGTGAATATGTACAGTGTGGCATTGTTGACATGTGACACTTCGTCTTCACACTGCCGATGCTTTTTGGAGCACGAAGTGATTTGCACACTTAAAATCGGCGTATGTTCATCAATCTCCAAGCTACCCACCCAATAATGGCACGTCCTTGGGCTGTTGGGTTGGTCCAAAGGCGTCAGGCGTCAGGCGTCAGGTCGAGTAGTCAGCAGCTGAACTCATTCGCAATCCGAGCCTGTTCCCGCTTTGAACTCTCACATGCCCGGAATTGGAAATCTTGACAAGGAGTTTCCCGGATTTTCGCTCCCTTTTGCGGAGCAACCAACATGTAGCCGCTTTCAATTCATCATTACAGTAGTGCGACTGTGATCGACGTAGTCACGCTAGAGTCTCTTTGATTGCTTATGTTTGCGGGCGGGTCGATTGACGTTGACACAACTCTCCGCCGACGCAAGATTGCGAGTTCAACGTATGTACAGAACGAACCCAGGCATTGCCCGCAATCCGGAATTTTTGGTAGTCATTTCTCGCCCTAATAAAACTGCGACTCATCTACCAAACACAACCCTACACAAATATACAAAGGATCAACAAGCTTGACTGACAGTAGTTCACGGCGCGGGGAAAATCCGACTCAAGTGTACAGTAAGTTTCGGCTTTATAAACTCGGCTTGGAAAAAAATCCGAGCTTGAAATCTGCAGCATGTCGCATTATTATTATTGTCGCTATAGTAGTGCAGTACCGCATAGAGTATTCGGACCCTATTAGTTGTGCTAATCCTCGCTTGCCTAAGATAGTATGTATCCCCGAAGACCCGAAGAGGCGATCACGATTTCGCGGCTAGTAGAACTAATATATATAGATCGGATCGTATATATATAGCGAAGAGATCTCTGCTACGAGAGGATTGGATAATCGGAGAGCGAGCATAATCGGTTTCTATGCATGCTCGTCAGACTTATTAACATCTGCTGCGAGAGATTATTTAGTCGTTCATCGTGCAGGACGGAGCATGTCGGCAGTTGGTAAGAGCCGAGCGTTGTACAGCCGAACCTAGCCACCGGCCCCGGAAGCAGTGTCGAGCCACTTCTCCTTTGCTTTGCCTTTGCCTTTGCCTTGATACTTTGCCACTCAAAACGAATACGGTCCGTTCTACGGCCAAGAAACACGGCATTGTTTATTTTGGCTTTTGTCCGTAAACGTGTGACGTGGTACGCTTGGCGTCGCGTCCTCATCACTTCGAGCACTCTGTGCCAAGAATCGCGGAGGAGTTGGTCGAGTCGACAATAATACATGCCAAGAGCAGAATCAATTTGACCCAAGATATCTTTCTTGGCAGATATATGTAGCGCCAAGCCAATCAAATCGCCAACATGACTTGCATGCCTCCTCTCATCATGTATGTAAGACATCTTGGCAATATGCCAAGTCCAACATCAAGTCGGCGAGGATGCCATACCATGCCAATAAGCTTGCCTTTCCTGCCAAGCTTGAAACTCTTCCTTGCCTTGCCTGCGCCTACTTCGACACAAGGCTGTGCTCGCCAAGTCGGGGCATGGAAAAGAAAATCCGTGCCAAGAGTGAGTAGATGCATGATCAGGAGATGCCTGGAATAATAATAATGCCGCTGTTTGATCGATGAATGCACGACCGGAGACATGTCTAATCAAGGAAGAAGCTCTCTCGTCTTGAGCGTTCCATATGCCAGGAGAGGAGTCCCAATACGATTGTCTCGACCGAAATGCCCAACACTACTATGCCAAGACACGCATCAAGCATCGACCCCAACCGATCATCGTACACAATACGAATACTGCTTGGTTTGACTTCATGTCCACTGTCCATCTTGAATGTTCGGCAAGACTTGACTGTTTCCGTTCACATATGCCAAGATTTTGATACACGCACCAACGAATTACTTTTTATGCATGGCTGATTGATTGCAGGACATGTCTTCGTATGCTCGGAACGTCCGTAGGCCGACGAGACATCAAGACTCGAGCCGATGCTCTATGCCGTTTTGCAAAGAGACGGGAAGCTGGGCCATGTCTTATCAGTGGGGCCACCAGCTGAAACACTACATCGCTAGAGGTTGTTCCAAGTGGACGAGAAATTTGCTGTATAAGGCATGTGCGCACGTGCCGGTAGACCCTCGATAATGAGGATGAAAATTCTAAACGCGGAACGGAGTTCTGTTCAAAGGGACTTGGGCTGGATGTGGTTGTGTGGAGTCAAGGCTTCTTCACTATCTACCGTTGATAGCCAGCCAGGGATTGACATCCACATAGATGGAATTGGAAGTGCCGATTGGCTATGACTTAACATCAGTCAGCATGGCAAGAGGCTGCTTCTTCTCCTGAAAAGTATCGGACGTCTTTGTGCGAGTAGCATGATGTTTGAAGGCAAGGTCGTTCACCAACTGCAAGAAGCTGCGTTGAGCAACAAGCTATTTCCGCGAATGCCAGGTCAGATTTCGCTTCGTTTCAGGAGGTAGCAAAGTTCCATTGTCAGACATAGCATCGACATATTGTCACTGCCTGGATGGTTGGTGTTGTTGACTGAAAATACCAAAGCCAATCTTTGTCATTCTGTCCGCCTCCCGGGTCAATATCAGTCAGCGATACGATAGACATCGACCGTTTCAGAAGTATCCAGAAATTGAATGAAAAAATGTCCCGACATTCTGGCATGCATCTATTTCCAATCAATCGAAGTGGACCCGAATTGACTCTCATAAATTTTCCAATCCTCCTCCAGGAAATACTTTCTTCACTTGTCGGCATCGGGGACGACGAAGAAGCCGCTGGCATCTCGAAAGACCAGTGGTATTTGCCTTGGTCCCTGCGAACGTGTGTGATCTGAGAGAAAAGCATCCGGAATTGCGTTCTGTGCATTTTTCTGGTGTTGGGTCTTTTTTGTGCGGCAGCCTTGCTTGATGCGGTCAACGAGCTTGCGGAGATTTGGAAGCTCCATGTCTGGCAATAATGTTCTGGTGTCAGTTGTGTCGTGGAATGTGTTGGATGGATGCTGCAGGCACTGGTCCAGTAGGGCTGTTATATAGGCGTCGGTGCAACACCAAACAGTCTCTGCCCCAAGGTTCCAGAGTAGAGCGACGACCTTTTGAGGTGTCTTGATCAACTTGTTTCATGAGAACTTCAAGACTCTGACGCAGCATGTCAGTGACCTGCTTTGAAGCGCCTTGGCGATACTGAGTGCGACTCAGCTAGTGTCCATGCGAAGAAGTGCTGTCTTGTAAAACTTCTCAACATCCAGCCCACATTCACGGAGGAAGTTCCTGGTCTCTTCTTTCGACATCCCATCGAGCTGGCCAGTCTCGAGTTGCGCCAGTACAGGCTTCTCGATAGCTTCAGCCAAGTCTCTCAAGAACTTGTTGATGTTTGCGTGCAACGATGCGACTGGATTGGTGACATTGACAGCCCCTAGGTGCCAGACTAGACAGCAGTCTCGTTGCTCATTCTTGTCCACAGCTGGGAACAGCTTCGCAAGGGCATGGCGCCTGATTGATTCCCAACGCTGCACATCCAGTTCATCATGTTCCGAATCAAAAGGATCATCCGAGACCCGAATATTGGTCTCATCAGCGATCATGTCTCGCTCGTGAAAGCCCCATGCAAAAGCTTCGTCAATCGCATCCGATCCTTCTTGGCCACATATGAGATATTGCTCCAGACAGGCATGCATCATCCAGTCGGCAGCCAGCTGCATCCACTGTGGTGTAAAATTATTCCTGTCGAAAATGTTGTGGCATCTTGCTGAGACTTGCATGAAGAGCGGGAGTACGTCCAGAAGTGTGACGCAGGCATTAGTCCCAAAGAAGGCATCGTCATAGTCGTGGTCTTCGCAAGGAATGTCCAGAGAGTCGAGAAGCTGGGCGCGATTGTCCTCGAGCTTTTTGATACTTAGTGGAAGCTCATTCTGAAAAGGAGCAGTGTCGTAGTCGGCCGTTGGCATCCGTGAGGCATCTCTGCCGATCCATTCGAAAGCTCTAGCTTTATTCCGATCTCGCAAAGCTTGCAGAGAGGCCTTCGGTGGTGTAACCGAAGTCTTGATCAAGCGCTGCGTGACAAGTGTGACAAGCTGCAGTAGTTGCTGGCGGAAACGGAAATCCGGGTAGAAACGATATCGCGAGTAGCGATGCTGGAAGAGCTGGAGGAATTCATTGGCCTGCACAAGGCTGCATTCAACTGCTGACACTCCTTGATCCAATCGAGGCGCGTTCTGGTAGGCCAAACAGGTGTTGATGGCCTGATAGACAAGATAGTCGAGAATCATATGGTCTACTTCCAGAGCCGTGCCAGTATCGTCCATCTCACGAGTGGTGATAGACGGCCGCAGGTCTTCAGATAGTCTCACACGCTTCTTCGGCCTTTCGCCATTCGTCGCAGGAGGAGGTGGAGGCCGCATTGCTGACCTCTCAGCCATGGTCGTCTTCGCACCTTGCCGCGCTGTGTATGCCGTTCGTGTTGGCTATCTTTATCCCTCTACAAGTGGAATCCGCTTCAAATGGACTTCTATTTGCTCTTATAGTCTGCTGTTCCTATTGTGCCCTCTATTGTCCTCACTCTTGAGCGACACGCGCTTGTCCAGACGCGTCAAAGTACGCGAAGATGAGGTCGCCGGTTCGGCGTTCGTTGCGCGGCTCGATTCGTACAGCTTACACTCTGCATGGCTCGGGCAATGGAGCATACAGCTCGATTTGGGTGTGCTGCGGTGGAGTCGAGCATGGCTCTTGGTGAGTGCGAGCTTGAGGGGTTCTTGGCGTTGAGAGTGTCAACATCGACCTCCCTTCTCCTCACCTACGTTTTCCACCAACTTCGTCCAGCCAGCAGCTTCCTCTTTAGCAATATTGGCTGCCGCTAGCACATAGCAAGCGCCGCAGTAGAGACCTGGCGTGTCGCGTGCCATTCTCACCCAGTAAGGCAGCACTATTCCCTCCACCTCGACCTCCTCTACCGCAAGCAAGAGTCTTCCGTCACAGTGCAACACTATACTCGCAAAAGCTGGTATACCCAACCCATCAGCTGCTCAAGTCCTGCAGATTCCTGTTTGCGGAGGCTCATGAGGCGTTTGCTGCTTCTCGAACTGACGCTATGGTCAGGCCAGCTTTGCACTGCCTTGCTTTCGGCGTCGTAATCAGCTGCTTCGCTGCCTCCGTGGCGAGTGCCATTGACTCTTCCATAAAATTGCTGACAGGCCAGACACCACTCGAGGCAGAATCTTGCAAACAACAGCCCTTCAGAATGGCAGCACAGCATTCTGGTTATCGAAGCGTCGCCTACTTCGTGAACTGGGCCATCTACGGGAGGAACCACCAACCCCAGGATATCCCAGCAGAGAAGCTTACACACGTTCTATATGCCTTTGCAAACGTTCGACCAGATTCTGGCGAGGTATACTTGACCGACAGCTGGTCTGACACTGACAAGCACTACCCATCGGATTCGTGGAACGATACTGGCAACAATGTCTACGGCTGCATCAAGCAGTTATATCTGCTCAAGAAGCGGAATCGCAATCTCAAAATCTTGCTGAGCATCGGCGGCTGGACCTACAGCTCAAACTTCGCGCAGCCTGCCTCTACCGAACAAGGACGCCGCACCTTCGCCGATAGCGCTGTGCGCCTTCTGAAGGACCTTGGCCTAGATGGCCTTGACATTGATTGGGAGTATCCGAAGTGTGAATCTGAAGCTCAAGACTTCGTGAAACTGCTTTGTGAAACTCGTTGTGCTTTGGAGGCCTACTCAGCCACCCTCCCAAGCAGACCTCACCTTCTCCTAACTGTAGCATCTCCTGCGGGACCTTCGAACTGCCACTGGCTAAAGCTGCGAGAAATGGATCAGTATCTTGACTTCTGGAATATGATGGCTTATGACTTTGCCGGATCCTGGGACAGCGCTGCCGGACATCAGGCAAATATCTACCCATCGCAGCAACACCCTGGATGCACGCCGTTCAGTGCAGACTTTGCTGTTCGCTACTATATTGACCACGGCATCCACCCGAGCAAGATTGTTCTGGGCATGCCGCTGTATGGTCGTGCATTCCAGCAGACCGATGGCCCTGGGTGTGGCTACAGCGGTGTGGGCGAGGGCAGCTGGGAGAACGGTGTCTGGGACTATAAGGTGAGTTGGCACATCATCTCCGCACAATCCTCATGCTGCACCTCTTGGGATGATAAAAGCGCTTCGCCAAGTCTAGAACACCACCTCGACAAAGCCATGTCTAGTACATTGGTTCTGCGGGGCTTGGCAACGATGGGCGGGACTTGATGTCCAAAATAAACTTGATCTAATCTGACCCCGGAAATAATTTTGCTATCTTGTCGCAAATACTCTGCTGTCTTCAATTACTGACAACTCCAAGGCCCTCCCTCGCCCCGGCGCCCAAGTCTGCCATGACCAACAAGCTATAGCGTCCTGGTGCTACGATCCTGCCTCAAAGACCATGGTGTCATACGACACGCCCCAAGTCGCCGCACAAAAGGTGCAATACATCAAGCAAATCGGCCTCGGCGGTGCAATGTGGTGGGAGAGTAGCGGAGATCGTCCTGCCACCGAAGGCGATAGCTTGATCAACATCACTGTCCAAGGCTTGGGGGGATATGAGGGCAAGCATATGGAGCGGGTCAAGAACGTGCTCGAGTATCCTGAAAGCAAGTATGACAATTTGAGAGCTGGTATGCCTGGGGAGTAGAAGTAGACAGAACTCACATCAAGAACATCTCACGAACCAGCCACTCAACCTTGTTAGCAGTCACATCAACAGCTCCGATCTCAGCGATGAGCTCTATCTACGATGCTGAGTAGATACTCCACCATCTTGGGGACATAATGTGACCTCGCGGAACACTTTACTCTCCGCCACTTCACGCTTGATAGATTTACATCTTCTAATGGCGCTGCAGTCGGGCCCTTGCGTCCTGACGCCGCTGAAGAGATCGATTATCGAAATTATGCGAAAGACCACCGTCTCCAGTCGGCTCACATGTTGCATGTCCCCTTGGACGCCAATTCTTGAGCCAACCACTTATCATTCCCCCAATTTGCTATTTCACGGTGTTGGTGAGTCGCGGTCTGAGGTGTGAATCGCCTTTTCCCTCACATCTTAAGTTTCGGACTACTGAGCCCAGGGCGATTGCTTTGCTCCATGGCAATAGCATATTCTGCTTCAGCGGATTTGAGTAGCACAATGAGCAGTCTTGCGCTGGAAGGGGCATTTCAAAGCTGAGTTATCGTCCTCGTAGTTCTTTTGTATTCTGAAAGCAGGTATGCTCCTTCTATTGACGAAGTATGTCTCTTCAACATACTCATTTGAAATGCGCCATAATCCCGTCCTAATTGTCGGGACCCAGCTTCTGCGTAGATCCGATCGGTCCAGCCGCAACACCATTCGCGACGCCCAATGTCCCTCTACCAGGTCCCATGCTCGGACTCCTGGTGCTCGGAAGCACTCCATATCTTCCATACGTCTTCTGATCCACGCTCACATAATGTGGTAATCTCCCCAAAAGATTAAGCTTGCCCTCTACCCATTTCAAGATCTTGTCATGCGGCGCCAAAAACCTGATATATCCCAAACCCCACAAATATCCTACCAGCGCCCCGCACAAATGTCCAAGAAGAGATGTATGTGGTATTAAGAAGTTTATGACCAGGATCAAGGCCAGAGGTGTGGTCCAAGTTGGAATCTTGTAGCCGCTGATCTCGAAGTATGGGTTCGATTTGTAGGTCTTGTATGCTTCACTGCAGAGTAGGAGGATGACCCATACACTGCTTCCTATCACTGAGCTGTTGAGGCGGAACACGAATCGTTCGAGGAGAGTGTAGAGACCGCCGGGGAGGACTCCAAAAGGTCCGGCGAAGAGCGCGACTGTGGTGATGGTGCCATGCTCGGATTCGAAGTGTTCGAGGAGCGGAAGCAGGGATATTATGTTTAGTATGTAGTGCAGGAAGGAGACGTGCAGGAGCGGGTAGGTGTTCAGTCGATGGACTTGAGCATCGCATTAGTCTTTGGCCCGCAAACATTATGTGCGCCTGCTCTTACGTGTGGCGATATTGATCTCATTCGGGATGAGAGCGCCCCATTGCTCCAGCCCAGGCACAAACCAGTGGGCAATGTATAAAGCTGTTATTACCAGCAATAACCCACGAGTGGCGAGCGGAAGCCTCAAAAGGTAAGATCGAATTCGTCTCGCATCCGGCAGCTGTGCTCTGATTGACGCCATGCACTTCAAAAGCTTCTCCGAACTAATCCGCCGGCGGGTTGGTGTTGCAGAGTCCAAGAAAAGTGGTGTGCAAAGTGTCGCATGTTCTCTTTCCCAGAAACTCGGATGTTCCTGGAACGCGTATGTCAGCGATCGACAAGGGTACCGCGACCGCGTCTCATCAATCTTTCATGCGCCGCAATCAATTCCAGCCGCACCACCACCAACACTCCCATACTGATGTTATAGCACGATCACAATGGCGCTGTGTATGTTGGCTGGTCTCTACACAGCGTATAAGAATGGCAAGTTGACTTTGATTGAACAGCTGCGCGCCTATTGGCCCTCCGCCGGTCCCCAATCCTCCTCAAACTCCCACCATACCTGTCCCTTTTATGCATTCTCATTGGAATCGCCTGGCTACTGCTCCTTCCTCTGAACGAATACTCTCGCCAGACCTACATCTCTGAAAATGCCATCCTTCCGGGTCAAGTCCATACATACTTTGGCGGATCCGAGCACAACATCTTCCGCGCATATCGACAGGAGGTCTGGACATTGGGCCAGCAGAGTGATGAAGAGAGGACAACCGGCCTGAGGAGAGTGCTGAACGATATTGGCTTAAAGACCGCTGTGCAAGATTGGAGGTTTGAGGTAGCGGGAGAAAGGATCGAGGGCAAGAATGTTTATGGTCTGCTCCAAGGACCGCGAGCAGATGCTACAGAAGCCATGGTCATGATTGCTGCTTGGAAGAATTTCGATGGAGAAGTCAATTATTCTGGAGTCGCGCTGGCTCTGACAATGGCGAGATACTTCAAGAGGTGGAGTATATGGAGCAAGGACATTTTCGTGCTCTTGCCAGATGACAGCACATATGGGCCAGAAGCTTGGGTGAGCGCGTATCACAGCACGACGGCCGTGCCTACTGCAAGCAGAAATGTGAGCGCGCTATCGATCAAGGCTGGAGCGTTACAAGGAGCCGTGGCTTTAGACTATCCGGTCGGGCCATGGGGAAAGAGATTCGACAAGCTGGATGTGTACTACGATGGCATAAATGGTGCTCTTCCCAACCTTGATCTCCTCAACACTGCTGTGCAAGTCGCGAGTGGGCAGATGGGTATTGGCTGCAGTCTCCACGGCATCACAGATCACAAGGACAATTACGAAGACCGACTGAAGTGCCTTGCGAAAGGTGTCATGAAACAAGCTGCAGGACATGCTACTGGGCCGCATTCCGCATTCATGTCCTACCACGTCGATGCGATCACATTGAAGACTGTCGGAGATGGCTGGCATGACGAGATGACTCTGGGACGCGTGACGGAGAGTGTCTTCCGGAGCATCAACAATCTGTTGGAGAAGTTCCATCAAAGTTTCTTCTTCTACATTCTGCTCAACACGAATCGATTCGTCAGCATCGGCAGCTACCTCCCGGCAGCCATGTTGGTAGCCGGAAGCTTTACGATCAACGCGCTGGCACTTTGGGTGTTGAGCGGGAAAGGACCAGTTGAGAAGCCGGGCAAGCTTGAAGCACACCCAACTGACAAGCCTGAGGGAGAGAAGATGGTGGCTTTCAAGAGTGGCAGCGATGTCACTTTGGTGGCAAAGGAAGAGCTTGAGGCTGTCGAGAGAAGAATGCTCCTGCCTGCGACTGTAGTTCTGGCCGTGCATCTGGCGAGCGTTGTGCCGCTGTATGCATTGACACACGTCGACAAAGCTGTGAGTGGATCATCTCATGTCATCGTTGTTGCCATACTGACAAGCGTGTAGAGCCTCGTATTCGCCTTCTCCGCTGTCGCAATTGCAAGCTATGCATTCCCGGCTTATCTGAGCCTGCTCTTGGTGCGCTTCATGAACGCCAGCTCGCAGCAGATCCAAGTCATGCAGTCTTTCTCGCTACTCTTCCTCGGCGCCACGCTTTCGACCTGGGCTACGATCAACTTCTCACTGGCGCTCCTCGTTGGTCTGCTTGCAGCACCCCTCAGCTTCGCTAGACCCATTGTAGTGGACAGGACAAAGCACGTACAGTTTGCTCTGCATCTGCCCGCAGCACTATTCTGGTTGGTGCTGTCACCGCCTGCAGTTCTTTCCGGACTAAGCATGTACACTCAGAACAATCTCAGTTGGATACTGCTGGAAATTGCAAAAGGCTGGTCCGCACAAGGCGCTTGGAGTGATCTCGTGGTGTGGTCAGTGTGGTGGCCGGCGTGGGTGCTGGGTGGAACAGTGCTTCTCAGTGGCATCGTAAGAACAGGACCATGATTTGATAGCGTGAGCAATGCCTTTGCGACACGAATACGCTGCACGCCTCAGTTCCACGAATGCTTGCGATCACGCGTGGTGGGATTGGGCATAAGGAAGTCGCGCTGCCTGGACGCGGGAAATGGCAGTCGCGTGAAAGCCAAAGCTCACTACCTGCACTTCAGAGAACCTCACCTTGCCACATTCTCACACTCACCCAACTATCTCGATACACGTCGTGCGAAGACATCACGCTTCTTCACATCGCAGTCGCAGCCATCTCAGAGCAACGATAACCATGGCCAAGACCAAAGAAGACGCTAAGGACAAGATCCCAAAGCTCACGCCGCAGCAATCCGCAGAAGTCATTCTCGCGTACCTTAAGCAGACGAATCGTCCATACTCCGCCAAAGAGATCAGCGAGAACATCAAAGGCGCCAAGACGGCCGTCATCACGCAAGCTGCAGCGCAGAAGTTGCTGAAGGACTTGCACGAGCGAAAGGAGATCGAGGGCAAGGCATCTGGCAAGAGTATGGTGTACTTCGCCATCCAGGTCAGTCTATCCTCTCACGCATTGTACTTTAGCTGATTCGATGCACAGCCCGAAGAAGATGAAGACTTTCACGAGAAGCTTGCCGCCACTTCTGCCGAGACTACTCGTCTTCGCGAGGAGCTTATCGCTATGAAGGATGAGGAGAAAGAGCTTCGTCTCTCCCTCCGTCAAGGCGCCAATACGATTCCGCTTGGAGAGATCAAAAAGAATGTCGCTGCTATGACCACTGAGAAGGCACAGCTCGAGGAACGTCTTGCCAAGCTCAAGAATGGCAGCACCAAGCCTATCGATCCAGCCAAGCGTGATCGTATCAATAAGAGCTACAAGAAGCTGTCTAAGCAGGCCAGCAACCGTCGAAAAATTTGCAAATTTTTGTGGGAAACAGTTCTCGATGCTCTTGAGAATGGCAATGCAGACCCGGAGACGATCAACGATCTGAAGGAGGAGTTTGCGGTCGATAGCTGGTTGTGAAGCAACAATATAATTTTCGGGTCGTGGAGGGAGGAGATGTTGTGCGAGATGCGATGCTTGATGAACATGAAATGCTGGTTTTAAGAAGGATGACAGGTGATTGCTCATATGGCACAAAACTACAATGACTACCACACCTAGAGCTTTGGACGAGATACACTGCATGAGACAAACACTCTGCCTATTCTTTATATCTAACCCGATCAGCAGGCAGAATCCACGTGAGAGCTGACTGGCGAAAGCTCCGAACACGCCTGCACGCACCCCAACACTCTGCATCGAACCATTTCTGGAGCACGAATCCAACGATTGGCAGCACGCCCAGAAAACTCGCATCCGAACCCTGCTACAAATCTGCCTAAGCATGTCAAGCCGAGCATAGCTACGCACTTTCCCCTTCCGATCTCGGACTCCAAACCCACAACATCCCATCCCACCATCTCATAATCTTATCAGATCAGATCCAAGTGAACATCACCACCACCCCTTTCCCCTTTCTTTCATCACTACCATGTTAACCCTCCAAACCCGGCACCACAGAATCCAAATTTCCGATTCCCGCCTAAAAACCTCATTCCTGCATCTCCCACCCGAACTCCGAAATCGCATTTACTTCCTCTCGGGATGTTTAGAAATTCGCGTCTGTGAACAATGTGGAAAAGCTTGCTCTACGGATTTGATTTCTATGGGGTTGGAGAGATGTTGTTCAGGGTCTTCGAGGATTGGGAGTCCCGTGCGATGGCCGAGACATTGGGTTTGTAGGTTTCGCGAACATTCGAGAAGAGGGTAAGTCTGGGAAAATGTGTATGCTTCTGATGAATGCTGTCGCTGATGGTTTTCTTTTTGTCGTGTAGGATGATTGATTTGGCTCGATACTCAAGAGATAAGAAAATTCGACACGAATTCATAAGTTCGGAAACTGGTCGTTTGGCAATTCCTCCTTTCACAACCACCACGACGGCACCGGATCAACCTGCTTTAACTCGAGTCTCTCGCCTCATTCGCTCGGAAACATTACCGATCTTCTACGGAAATAATGTTTTTGTCTTCACGCCACAAGTCACGACATGCACTGGGATTGGAAGGATTTCTTCTTCTGATATGAATTTTTTGAGGGCGATTGGGGTGAGGAATGCGGGTCTGGTGAGATGTGTAGAGGTTCGGTGGTTGGGATGGTGTAGGAGGGCTTTGTTAGAGAATTTTCAAGGGCAGTTGAAGGAGCTTGGGGTGAGGGTGGGGGAGAAAGGATTTGAGGTTGAGGTGTCTTGTTGGACGAATGAAGAGAGGTGGAGTAGTGGGTTTGAGGGGGAGAGATTGAGGTATATTGCGCCTTGAGGGGAGGGTGGATAGAGGCGATGACTTCGAGGGCCAAAGGAGGTCAAATCCAACAAGGCTCATTGCTGGTTTCAGCATCAGACTCTCAGCATCTGCGGATTCTTAGCCTTCATGTTGACCGTGAAATGTACTTCAGCGCTCATAGAACGTCGCGAAAGAGTTCTGGAAAGCTTTCCAGTGGCAAAGATTGAGGCGGCAAAAGACAGCGATGGTCAACCTATCTGATAGAGGAATCGAAGATCAGCAACTTTCCACCAGCACTTCTGAACCTCCGTCTTCTATGGGAGCGCCGTAGATGTTCTTGCTTGCCGCGGGGGATGAAGCGTGGTTTCTGAAGGGCCTGCTGGCGGTGAGGCTCAGAAGTCTGGTGTCTGCATGCGATGAGTAGATGATATCTCCCTCAGTAGAATTAGCGAGATGTTTCCATTGCACCCCCAAAAAGGATGCTGCATACAGCCATCGCAGACAGCAGATGTCAGTGTATAGAAATGGAAGCAGCGAGTTTGGTGTGCCATCAAGGCAACTTTTCATTTTCTGTCGCTTACAGTACAAGAAAGCACGAAATCAAACTTTTCTCTCTCTCAGACTCTCTTCTATCCCGGAGTCTTTTCATCTCATCTTCTCAATTCATGCAGTGATATAGCTCATAAGGAGCTTGATAGTGTGTGTCGGTGTCGATGCGACCGGCGAGAGTGTTCTGAGCGACTCTAGATGAACCACATGGAAGTGGCGATGCCACCCTGGTTTGGCATTGGCATGAGCTTGTCATACTCAGATGACAAGCCAGAAGAGGAGCCCTTGCTGCCAGACTTGCCCTGAGAGCCGCCAGACCGAGAACCGCCAGACTGAGACCCGGACTGCTTCTGAGTGGAGCTGGATGGACCATCAGAGCTGCCAGCCCACTTAGGATCGTGAGGAGCAGCACGTAGAGCGGCCAGGTGGGAATAGTAGATAGCAGGGTGCTGAGAGATCGGAGTCGAGGCACGAGAGTACTGGTAGGCGTGCTCGTAAAGAAGGGTGTGCAGCTCGTCGTTGGACATCTTAGCCTCATTCATAAGCACATAGTAGTGCACAGGACGAGCGGTGCCCTTGATAGCAGCATGTCCGCAAAGGTAGAAGTCGTTCTCATGAGGATTAGTGACGCCGGACTCAACCAAGGTGCCTGGGAATGCGTTGCCGTTACGGTCGCCCTTCTCCGGGAAGAAGCGCACATTGTGACGCTTAGAGCCCACCACGACGACGAACTGAGGAACCGGGCCAGCCTGCTTAAGCAACTGCTTCATATCGTTAACCTCCTGCTGAAGGACGTGCGAATATTGACCCTCAGACACGCCATCACGAAGGTAGATAACACGCTGTGGCACCTTGCCGCCGCCGACGTTCTGCATCCACGACTGAAGGAGGGGCTTAAGCTCGGTGTTGATGATGTCGGTGTTGATCATCTCCACACGGAAACCGTTCGTCTGGCACAGAGCGGCGTAGCGAGTGGCGAGCTTGTCCATAGACACAGTCATAGCGGCCATAGAGGGAGTCTGCATGCCAGGAGCAGCGTGGGAGACGTCGGCACCAATGATGACTGTCGGGCACTGGAAGATACCATTGGGTCCACCAGTCTTAGAACCGATGGCACGGCATGTAGCACCACCCAGCTTGGCGTTGAATTTCATGCACACGTTGGAGATGTACTGCGCCTGAGCCTTCTGAGCGTGTGAGTATTGTACGCACTGAGACACAACGCCGTAGCGGCACTCGCAAGAGCGCTTGATGCGGCCGTAGACCTGGGAGTCCTTGTCGGGCAGGATGAAGAAGAGGATCTGCGGGCGGGATTGAGACTGGTTGCCAGCGGCATTCCAAGCGGTAGTGACCCACTCGCCGACATCTTCACCCATAGCCAACGCCATTGCTGGCTGCTTGTTCTCGACCTTGCCGCCGTGGCCAATGTAGCCCTGCACAAAGGCCTGGACAAAGCGCTCGATCGTAGACTTGTCAGGCTTGCCACCACGACGACCAGAAATGACGCAGACAGCCCAGGACTTGAGCGGCTGAGGGTTGACCTGGAAGAATTTCTTGCCCTTCAGATCCCAGCGACCAGAGGTGCCTGGCTTAGCCTCACCAACACCGAATTTGACAGTAGGCGCTGGAAGAACGCGGCCGTCGACCACGGTCTTGTTTGGGTTGACAGTGACACCATACTTCTGCAAGATAGGGTCGCTGCCCCAAGCCAGCATGCCTAGACCGTGCTGAATGCCGGCATAGCGCTGTGGAGGGGCGGTAACTGCAAATTTGATCATGTTAGATGTCTGACGCTCATCCATCTTGAAGGCGTATCGCTGATTCTCCTTGATTCGAAGAACCTCCATCGGCAGAACAGTGTTCTTGCCCTTGGTCATCTTGGCAAGAGGTAGGCCTGAGTACTGCAGGCGGATGTTGTATTTCTTAGCGAAGTAGTCGTAGATAGGGATGGTCACCTCATTGCCCGAAGGATCAGTAACCTGCACCTTGTACTGCTTGGCGTCCTGGTAGATAAATCGCTCAATACAGTACTCATCCTCGTTCTGCTGACCACGGTGCTTGGCAATGACGCGAACCTTCCGGAACTTCTTGAGACCAACACCATACTTGCCCTTCTCCCCCTGGCGCTGAATACCGGTGATAAGGTCGCCAATGTCGCGAGCACCACAGGCGAGGACAGCAGATTGATGAAGCATGTCGGCAGTCCAGAAAGTGCCGTTAGCTACATCGACATTGACAGAAAGGCGGCCTGGGTGAACGACACGTAGAGACTGGTATACACCCTTAAAAGCCTCGACACCGCCACCCAAGATAGACCGAGTCTGACCACGAGCGAAGTATGCACGCTTAATAGGTGTATAGCGTTGTGATGGTGTCTGACGGAGGAGGTGGTCGGCGAAGGCAATAGCCTCAAGGCAGGTGTTGTCGAACGAGGCCTTGCCCTGAAGGTAGGCCATCAATTGCTGGAAACCAACCTTGTTGGTCTGACGGATGTTAATGCGGTGCTCATCAGGACCGTTCTTGCCCGGCTTACGACCCTTCTCCTCATCGAGGTTGACTATTAGCCGCACTTCACGTGTGATGGGACGACCAGACCAAGCCAGCTTGTTGCCGTCGAAGATAGCACCAGCACCGATCTCTGCCTGGACCTTCTTGGAGTTCCAGACAGCGTTGATAATGCTACGCTTCTCTACACCGTTGCCGATTTGCACATCGAACTGGTAGATGGGAATGTTGGGAAACTTCTCCACGTGGTATGTATTCAGGCCGACCTTGCAGGCTTGACCCATCTTGGAAGGGGCCTGGCGTGGAGGCAGAGTAGACACCTCATTGCCGCGGACAGTCGCCCAGCCGGCCATACCAAGGTCGAAGTTGAATTTCTTGGAATCCAGCTTCACGGCTGAAATGGCAGGGTTGCGCTCCGACGCAGCAGCGCCTGGTGGGTCGGCATTGCCATCGTAGGCGGCACCGCGAAGGGAGCGCGATGGAGCTGCAGAGGCACGAGAGACCTCAGAGCGCACCGAGCGAGTGGCGTGGCCGGAAGACGAGGCAGTGGTGCCAGAAGTGGAACCTGAGGCGGAACCAGAGTCGACGGAGCGGCCGTCGGTGGGCTGGCGGCGGTCAGCCTCCTTGTTGACGCGGGCCTTCGCTGGTCCAGCCATTGCGACTTCTTGTGGGTGTTCGGATTGGTGAGGTGGGTGTTTGGGGTCGGTGAGGTGGGTTGGGGTATCTGATGCTGGAGTCAAGTCAGTAAAGGTCGGCGGTGAGATGAAATAGCAGCGTACGACCTGCGAGTGCTGATAGAAGCTCGAGGTGTGTCAGATGGCTGTGTTGGGTGAGGGTAGGTGGATGGTTGAACGGGTTTGTGGATGGTGGTTGATGAGTGAAAAGACGGGGGAAAAGCAGAAGTGTTTTATGCAAGACAGCTGAGCATTGACCAACGGCCACGCAGCCAACGTGTGAGGCAAGCTGGCGCTTGTGACTCAATTGAAGGCGAGCTCGTGCTGATGCTGAGGGTGATGGGCAGAAAACGATGGGTGGATCAAGTCAGTATCGCGCCGACCACGTACCTTGAGCTCAGCGAGATGCTGGCAGAGTATTTGATGCTGTTGAGGGTGTTGGGTGTGACTGTGGGTGGTGTCAGTGTGTGTTGAAGGTGGTTGAGGTTGCTTGTCGGATGGTTGTTGGTGTGTGTAGGAAAGAGAAAGATCTGGAGTGGAAGAGGTTCTTTTTGTGCGTCCGCGGCGGCGCATTGACCACAACCGGTGAACGCTCCTGTGCTAATTGAGGGCAGTAGCATGTGTAAACTGACCTAATCTGAGGCCTCGATGCCTGTGATGAGCCGTCTTGTGATGGCTATGCGTGGTTGAGGTGTGTCGGTGTGGAAGCAGAACTGAGCTGAGGCAGGCGGAATTTGAGGGACGCGGACGCGGAGAGCTGTTGCCGCACCGACGTAACGCTCTTGGCTTGGCGGTGATTGTTCAGGGCAGGCACGCCAAATCGACCAGCAGCATCATGTATGGACGTTGAGCATGACAGAGGAGCATGGAGTGACCATCGACTCAAGCCTCCTGCAAACGTCGACCCGGAATGCTGTCCATAGCGTACATGGTCTCAGGTGGGAGGAAGACTTGAAAAGTCTCCCAGGACTCCTCTGTACGAGCTGCCATCGACGACCATCACGAAGTCTTGCTCAAGATTGACATAATTGCGACGCCAACCTGATGCTCAGCATGATAATCCAGTGCGCTTGGTACCAGACGGAACTCCTTGCCTTCCAGAACATGCAGGACAATGCCAGCCACAATGGGGATCGACTGGCTTCCACAAAGACTGGGGCCTTGGAGCAGATGAGGAGATCACCCAACGTAGCCAAACATTCGAGCATATCTCAGCAAGCTTTGCTCCTCTGCTCCAAGTCGAACAGGCATTGAAAGCCCTCTGATGCCTGGCCGCAGGCGTACTCCACATCCTGGGCAAACTTTCAACTTCTCTCGGCAGTATCTTGAGCCTTATAATAATATGTCCCAAGGTTGCGAGGCTTGGGCGAGACCTTCAAGAGCAGCGACGTTTGCCAAGTGTAGAGAGAGTATGGACCAGCAGCGGGAGAATTCCCTGAGTATTCTCGCAAACGAACCATCGGCTTCTTCTCGTCTGTGGTGCTCTGAGAATGCGTCTCGGAGTGACTTGTGGTCTCCGCCGTCTGTGAACAACACCAAGTCTACTGTCGTCCTGGCTTCGAAACTGCTACCCATCGACTGGCTATCGTGAAGGACTCTATCGGAATCGGCTGAGTAGAGAGACTTTTCTCAGCTCCGTGCCATGATTGAGGAAGACAGTCGAGAAGTTCTTTCGCGCAGTTTTCGATGCCACTGCGGACATTGATCCTCGCGAACAGTCTATGGACAGCTGCGGCTCCGCTCCCCAGACATCTGTCGACCAGAAGCGCATATCGAATCCAGCGTGGGAATTCTGACTCGATCTGATATTGAGAGCATTTCGATCAGCTATAAGACCTGGTGCTATGAGGCGGCCACGTTATATGAGATCAGTGAGAACTCGCCAGGGCATCGATGTCAAAGCCATGCCTTGACAAATGTCGGCATGGTCATGGACTTGTCGAGGAACGCGAACGTGCGCATCTTCACTGTAGCCAATATCCTCTTGTTTGGTTCTGGTGCGAGAGGAAGGGCGATTTATCAACCGTGAGCAAGGCGATGCTCGTCCGCAAAGCTGTATGCGGCTGGGCTCCAGAGGTATGGGTTGTTCAGTCCGATCTTCGTTGTATGTACATCGCGTACAGATGCCACAATGCACAGATCATGCGCTACAGAATGTCGCCTGACATGACGCGCTTCCTCTGCCTAGCGAAGGCGCACCAGAATATGGAAATAGAAGGCGCTAGGCCTTTGGCTTCGAGCCTTGCAAAATTCAAGGAGATATGTGAAGAGCTCATACTATACCTGAACGCCACGGACCGGAGCTATATTGCCTTTTCGCAGAGCCATCGATCTATGTGCATGCGATAGATTGACAGTCCGGTTGGGTCCCATGACTTGATATCAGTTGCCGTGACACTGCTGGCAATCCTCAGCCAAGCTCAGGCGGACACGCATCTCTCCCAGACCTTCATGCTGCATGCTGCCAGGCGAGGAGTGATCTCTTCTTTACACGTAGCTGCGGAAGACTTTCGCGTAGGCCGACGTCAGGTCGCCAAAATCCGATCGAGGATTGCCATCGATGGCATGCCGTGCGGATGTCGATGCGGTCGCCATTGTCCTGGGGCTTGAAACACTTCCACATGTCTGCGTTGGAGCATTCCAAGTCAATGGGCCATGGCCCATGGCTCCCACCGCTGGAGTCTCTCCACGTCACCGCTGTATGATGACAGACACTTATACGATCCGTCTCCTGATCTGCCGTCGATGGCATGCTCGAGGCCAGGCTGGTTCTGACATTTTGCCGGAGGGACTGTCTTCCGATGCTGCAGTTCAAGTAATGCTATGCGAATTGATCCTGTTTACTCGACATTTCGAGGGGACGAACGCGATTCGACTCGAGTACGTCTTTAGTGATTTGGTGGTGTTTCAGGGCGGGATCGCCTGGCGTTTGTGTCGCAGCAAGACCCGAATAGCGGACGGGGTAATGGCAGTCTTACCTGCCGATGTAGCTGCAGTGGCGCACTCTGGTATGTTTGCAGACTTCCGGTGCCTGTATTGAGCGTGAGACGAGATAGAAGTCGAGGTTCATCGAGGTGGAAAGCACGGTAAGAAGTCAATTCCCGGCTCGGTCTTGGCAATACAATCCCCACGCCAACGAGGACCGCGTTTGCTCATGAGCCTGAGAAGCTGCTCTACATGCCCCCGATATGATAAGATCTGTGTCAAGATTGGCTATGTACATCTACCTCGTCAAGCAGTTGGCTCACGCTCTGGGCTTCATTGGCATCACTGCTGCACAACTTCCTCCAGCACCTCCTTAACTAAAGCAGCGTCCCTCGCCACATCAGCTTGCCAGTTTGCTACCGCAATCCGTGCAGCAGGCTGTCCCTCCCACTTTGTTCCGCTGACAACAATCTTTCGAGTGTCATTGATCCGCTTCACGAGTTCCTGGTTGACAGCATCGTCGACCGCTCGAAAGAGCACCACCATGTATGTCCTGCTCAAACCTTGCTCTTTTACCTTGGCGAAGCTAGGCGGAGACCGCGGCAGCAACTCATAAGCAGGTGAGTTTGCAATGTAGTTTGCGATTTCTCTCGCGAGGCCGATCTGTCGTTCCAGCATATCAAGATATCCGTTCCGGCCATGAGCAAGCAGAGTAGCGTAGACAGGCAACGCCCGAAATCGCCGCGAGTTCTCGATACCAATGTTCAGTGGCGAAGGAATGGTGACAGCCGATGACGACTGTAAGTATGCTGCTCCCACATTTTGAAAGACTTCTGTGCCGATGTCTAGATGTCTTGAAACGAAAATCCCACAGTCATAGGGCACATTGAACAGCTTGTGTGCGTCGCCCGTGATCGAGTCTGCCAGCTCCAGGTGGCGGACACCATCAACAAGAGTAGCATATTGGTTGTTATCAGTTGGCAGGAGTCTGGCTGGCAGACCGAATGCTGCATCTACATGAATCCAAGCGCCATACATGTCGCAAAGCTTGCGAATTTTGGTCATATCGTCTCCAGAGGTGGCGAAGAAGCCTGTGTTGACTTCAGCCATCGAGATTGCCACAATTGAACCTTTGGTCTGGTCTCGGAGAGCTGTCTCTAACGCGTCGAGGTCGAAATTATGCTTTGCTTGGGACAGGCCAACATCCTTCACAGCATTTCTGCCGAGCCCCACGATAGAGGCGGCCTTCTTCAGAGATGAGTGTGGAACGGTGGTTATGATCTGAAAGTCTTCAATCCCAACTTCCCTCATTGCAGTAGCCAGTCCATCGTTGGAAACACTAGCATCGTTGCCTTTCTTCTTGGCAAGCTCAGATATGACCCATTCTCTGCCGCAAGCAAGTCCTAAAAGATTGCTAGCCGTGGCACCCGTGGTAAACGTCCGATGGCTGAAGACATCACTCTCAAGCCCGACAAAGTCCAGTAGCATTCTCAAGGCAGCATCTTCAACGTCGGTACATATTGTTTGGTCTGGCAAATGGACTTGGGCCGTCTGATCGTGTACCGTCACAATGTGGTCAGCTGCGGTGGCGGCAGGTGTACTTCCACCATTAACGAATCCATAGTAGTTGGGAGACGAGCTACTATGACCTAGATGTAAGAACTCATCAGCATATGAACAAGCTCAGTATAATGAGGCAGGATAAGGACTGCACTTCGTCAAAGCCCGTATCTCGCATTGGAGGTTAGAAATCCGCAGGTAGTTGCATTGCAATGGCCATACTTACTCAGAGCCGGCACCAGATCCTGTCGAATGTGCTCAAGAGCCTTCTGTTCGCCCATACCGTCTGCCGGAAGGGACTTGCAAAGGCGACTTCTGGCATTGGCGAGGGTATGAAAGTCCGGGAGGACGAGACTTGTCGTTGAATTGGTCATTTTTGGCTGTTTGGATACAGTACGGGCAGGTCAGTGTGAGGCGGTTCGGGTGATGTGAAACGCAGCGTCTTCAATGCCACCCTTTCCGGAAAGCAGCGTGCAAATGGTGGCCTGGAGCCGTGGTGGATTTGAAGCTGGGCTGAGCTTGTCTTTGGATACGCTGAAGAAAAGAATGCTGACGAGTGAGCTGTGAGAAATACCATAAAGACAACTTACAGAAGTGAAGACGCCCGTACGCCCTTTGAACTGGGTTCCAGCCATGTCCGAGTTGAGTCAGTAATGGTATGGCGTTAGGAGCAAGCGTTGCAGCCGGCAGCCCTGAGCCGACCCCTGTGTTATGAAGTTGAGATTGTTGATGATTATTTAGAGGAGGAAGGCTAATTACAAAGGTAGGCCGTCGCCCTATTAGTTAGCTAGCCCCTAGACCGTTACTTCCTTGTTCCGTAATAGTCTGCCCTAAATAAAAGAAAAGGCACGCCCTCGTACCGTTACTCTAACTCTCTCGTCTCGTTACCTAGATACTAATTATCTAGTAGGCTGTCTACTGCTTAGGCTAGTCTCGTTGCCTAGATACTAATTATCTAGTAGGCCGTCTACTGCTTAGGCATAATTCTGTTCTTATTTCTACTCGTATCTACTTAAAGGCATGCTAGTACCTTAGCCTTCCTCTCTACAAATTCCGCTCGTTTCTTATTAGCCTTAGCTTCTATAGCTGCCTCCTCGCGTTCTAACTAGGCCTAGACTTGCGCTCGTCGCGTTTCCTTCTTAGCTACTATCTATCGGTTAGTATATCGCTCTATAGATAGGTCGGTTAGGTCGGTCTATACTCTTATATAGCGGTAGAGTACCTATCCTTAGTTGCTTCCGAATTCGGCGCTAAGGTCGTCCGTTAGCTAGGTAGCCTTAGTCGTTACTACTAATAAACCTTCCTCTCTAGGCTTCTGTTTAGGCAGGTTTAGATTATTATTATCTCTATTATTAGTAGCCTTCCTAGTCGCGCGGCAGTTGTCTCTATTTTCGAGTGCCTCGAAGTTAGCTAATAATACTCTAGGGTCTATAGGGTCTGCGGAGTATTCGTCGTTAGCGACTATTTGCCTTATCCTGTACTATCGCCTAACGAATACAACTCGTATAGCCTTAGGGTCGTAACGTACTATAAACTATTACTAGATAAGTTCCTATAATAGCTAGTTATACTCGGACTATAGCTTCTTTATTAAGTTCTTAACCTTCTTAGGTACTCGCTCGGTACCGTCGTCGGCTATATTTCTCTACGTAACTAGGTCGATATTAAGTGTCTCGTTCGGCGCTAGATAGAGTATATTAACCTCGATATCTCGTATTATATCTCTCTGCTCTCTAAGTATCTTATTATATTTATTCTTTTTCTTAGGCGATAGTTTAGCTAGCTCCGCCCTCGAAGTCCGATCCTTAGTAGGCTAAGCTATTAGGGCTCTAGCTAGGGCTCTCTTTTTATCTAACGACGTCGTCTCTATTATAGGCGATTCCTTTAGAGTAATAGGTATCGCCTTCTTAGCCTTCTTCGTTAGCTAAGGAGTTAGAGTTACCTTATCTTTATCGATAAGTCGGCTCTTACCCTTGTTTTTTCTCTTCTTAGTACTAGATTTCGATAGCGTCTCCTCGTTAGCATTAAATAGCGTAAATAATAGATAGGCGTTAACTAGCGTCTATAAGATAGATTCTAGGTCGTTAATAGCCTTATTATTTCCCTTGTTCTCGTTATTAGAGACAGGTTCCGTTACTAATCCTACCTCGCTTTAGAATTAATCGATTCTCTATTCTACCGTTATATTACTCTCTTACGGTTGCAGTCTCCGAAAAGGGAAGAAGGTATTAGGCTCGTCGGAGTCGGGCTTATTAAGAAGGTTATAGGCGTCGCTCTTGCGAGCCGAGCGATAGTCGTTAAAGTCGATGTCCGAGAGGTTATTAAGAGCGCCGTTGCCTATAGAACCGTCCTTACTATTACCCTCGCTAGCGTTACCTAGCAAATTAGTAGCGGTAGTATCGTTAGTAGCGGCTGTCTCGCTATTAGCCTCGGTAGCATACGCGAGGAGATCGTTAGGTAGCGTCGTATCGTTAGCATTAGCCTTACTAGCGTCGGCGGTCTACGCGAGGAGGTCGTTAGGTAAAGCCGCATCGCATACGTTAGGCATCTCGCGTAGTAGCGTCTCCTACTTTATATCGTATTCTATTACTTTACGCTACTAGAAACGGTATCGAATATTGTAAGTAAGCTTTTATATTAGCGATAGTAATGTATTTGCGGAAAGTTATTATTATAGTAAAGTTACTATAGCGAAGTTGTTTTAAAATAAAGTGAACTTAGTATACGCGCAAGCTTAGTATACGCGCTCCTACCTATTATAGAAGTAAAGCGGACTACGTAGAAGCTACGTAATTAGAGGAAATGTATATATAATAAGTCTGTCCTATAATGTTCCGTTACTATTCTAGCGGTAGCGACGATCGTAGGCCTTTACTATCGTTAGTAGAATGCCTTCCGTTCGTACCTACTTATTAGCTCTAGCTCCTACGTTCTTCTATCTAACTAGATATTCTATAACCTCCTTCCTATACCGACCGACTCGTCGGACTCGTCGGTTTCTTAGCGCTTCTATTTCCGGTAGAGCGTCTCCCTATTCGATACGTATCTTTAAGAGTTGCCTCGTTACTCGCTTATACGGATCCTTAGTATTAGGGTACGGCTCGAGTTCTATAATCGAGACTACTAGGTGTATCTTCTACGTCTTTAGTAGGTTAATCTAGTAGGCTAGTCCGGTACTTATAACCTTCGTTACCTTATATAGCCCGATCCTTAGAGGTATAAGCTTTCGGTTACTAACTCTAGGGATAGCGTAATTTTTAAGCTATAAATAGACTATATTGCCTACTACAGGTTTCTAGGCTACGTGCTAAGAGTCGTAGCGTTGCTTTATAGCGGCCTATATATAGGCGATATTGTTCTCTGCCTTAGCTTAGTAGACGTCCCGTTCCTTTACTAAATCCGTCGCGCTAGTTGTTACTATTTAGGCTAGTTCCCTAGGGTTGAAACCTATTAATACCTAGTTCGGTAATATGCTAGTCGAGGCGTTAACTAAATTGTTAAGAACTAGCTATATATACGGCGTTACGTATTCTAATTCTAGATCTCTATTAGGATCTTAGGTAAGGAAGTATCGTAGGGCAATCTCGACGGTCTAGTTCGTTCTCTTAGACTAGCTATTAGCCTATAGGTAATAGGCAGTCGTTATTAGAAGCTTAACGTTTATCCGCTTAAAAATAGCCTTCTATATCTCGGACGTAAACTTCGGGTCTCTATCGGAGATAATTACAGTCGGCAGGCTCTAATTATATTAGAATAGCTCGTTAAGCAAGCGGTTAGCCTAAGCCTCTACTAAGTACGTATCGTTACTAGTAATTAGGAGTACCTGTTTCGTATACTTATCGGTTGCTATAAGTATAGCGTTAGTTTCCTAAGCGGAAAGGGATACTACAAAGTTAATCGTAATCGTATAGAAGGGTACTAGCGGGGACAGTATAGGGTTTAAGGACCTATACGGCTTGTATCGCTTAGTCTGCAACTCTAAGCAGTCCTAATAGTAACTTAGATACTTTTTTAGTCTCTTAGCTAGTTTCCGGATATAGTACTAGTTATTTACTCGGGTATAGGTACGATAAAAACCGATGTAGTACTAGTTATCGTATACGCTACTAAAAATGTTACCCTCTAATACCTTTAGGATGTATAATCGTCGGTCGCCTAAATAGGGCTTATCGAGCTATACTAGGCCTTCGTCGTCGACTAAGAAGCTAGTAGAGCCTAGTTCCGCGTTCTATACTATTACTTTAATATTGCTTTAGTATTTATCTTCTTCGTATGCTTCGATAAGCTATTACTTAAATGCGTCGTCTATTTCTAGCATTATTACTCTATATACTAGTTCCTCGAATACGTCGCCCTCCGGGAGATAGTTATCTATCGTTTCTAGGCGCGATAAGGCGTCCGGTACGATATATTCTCGCCCTAGCTTATAGACTACCTTTAGTAGAAAAAGGGAAAGATATTACGACGATCTCGTTAGTCGGTTATTAAGCTTATTAACTAATAAGGAAGTTAAGGCAGTCTAGCTTACAATTCCTAGCGTTGCCGTATAATCCGTAAGTATAGTTACTATCGACTCGTATATCTCGACTATCTATCGTACGCGTTTAATTGTTTATACTAGGTAGGCGACCTCTAATTCGGTCGGCTAGTACCGTCGCTCTGTACTAGAAAGAGTCTTTAACAAAAACAAAATTAGTTACGTCTTTGTCCTACTAGGATTTTTAGTAATAGCGTCGCCCTCGACGTAGGCTACTATTACGCCGAAGCCTTGTTTCTTAGACGCGTCGATATAGATATATAGTAGCTAGTATCTCGCGAAATAATATAGCATCGTTAGCTTAGTAAAGGCCTCTTATAGGGCTTAAAACGTAGCTAGTCGTTCCTCCGTTTCCTCGATTAGTATCGTTACTATATAGTATCGACGTGCCTAGCTAGTAGTAGGCGCTCCCTTAAGCCTCTCTGTCTTTATCTTCTAAAGCGGTTCCGCTAGTTAAGTATAGTACTTAATATACGTTCTTAGCTACCTAGTTAGCCTAAGATAGTACTCTAGGTCCTTTAGCGTTCGTAGGAACTTAAGCTTAGTAATAGCCGCTAATTTGTCGGCCGGCGTCGCGGTACCTAAGGCGTCGACTCGTTACCCTAGTAGCTAGATCGATAGGTACCCGATAAAAGCCTTTTCGGGTACTATAGTAAGCTAGTGTCGGTTTAAGGCATCGAATACCTTGTCGAGATAGCGTAGATATTCCTCTAGCGTCTTGCTATAAATAACGATATCGTTAATAAAAGCTTTAGCGAACCTGTTAAGTCCTTCTATTTATAGGATTCTATCGATCTATCGCTATACGTAGGGCAGCGCGTTCTTATAGCCTATTAC